TATATATTTATTTCTGGTAACAAAGATACATTTGGTTACAAGCCGAAAAATTTAAAGCCAGTATTTTTTAACATTAGTCTTTGAAAAGTGTTATCTGACTACACATTGTACAAATGATATTAAAATTGTCTGTTTAAATTTGTAATGCAAGATTACTTTTCTACATATTATCAAACATCGCGTATTGTGTGTGCATAGCTTTATTGGAGGAGCATACAAATATTAGCATGTGCTCATTTTTTCCATGAAACAGTTTTTGTTGCAACTGATAACAAATTATACACAGTATATATAGGTATGTTTCATGCACCACTTAAACGAAAAAGATATTTTTGTACACCAGGTAAAAACCTGGTGCTAATTAATAATGTAATTTTTTAATACTAAATAATATGAGATTTGTTTTCTAAACGGAATTTAGTTTTAGATACTGAACAGTTTCACAATGTATTATTAGTAGTGTATCGTTAAACACTAGACTCTTATTAAATGATTTCGATAAAAGTTGTTGTTAGCGTTAAATATGAAGAATATTCGATTATTTGATATTGGATAATCCATTAAAAATTTACATAAATCTTGATATATTAGTGATGAGAATGAGATGAACGTAATCCTATGGATTACAAGAAATTATCGGTTAAAAAAACTGGTGAAAAAGGTGAAGATATAGTGTAACATATACTTACAATACATAATCTTATTGATGCTAGCTTTGTAAATCAAGTTTATACTCACACTTAATGAAATTGTGTTTCACAAAAAATGTTCTTCAAATGTGGCAAAACCAGTTATTTTGATTTAAAAACTAAACTACTGAACCGATTTTGATAAAATTTCTATGGGTCCAAGGTATATCCTTTCAGATATAAAAAAATCAATTTTTCAAATCGGTTTACAATTAACGAAATTAAGAGGTAACAAATATTGAAAAAAAATCAACCGAATGGAGAACCTCCTTTTGTTTGAATTCTTTTGAAAATGACAGAATTTTTTTGCTAGTATATACAGCTAGATTTATTACGCAATATTCCGAACTAATCAATCCGACATAACTTTACCGCAATGTTGGTTTGGAATGTATTCCCATCCTATCCTATTATGGGTAGTTGTCTTGTGCAAAACATTCATTCTGCTCAGAAGATTCTTCAACTAGCTTCATTCAGTTGAATAGTTTTCTAGTTAGTTTTTTTTTGGACAGTGATGTATTTAATATGGTTGTTGTAACATTGTTGGATTTTACTGAAATGAATAATTTGTAGGTATCTTGGGATACGTATCCAACTATTATTACTTGATGTCTATTCGATATGATTTCGATTAGGTCCTAATTCGATTAAATTAAAAGTCTTCCTTCTGTAATCGATTTTAGTTCGTCAGTCACTTTTCTCTATCTTCGATGTCATCTTGAGATACTTCGTTCTTTAAAAATTTTAAAACTCAAACCGCTTGAATGGCTCAAAGAGAATTATTGTCTTTGAGGAACGAAGGAATGTTTAGTTCAGGTTGATGGATATTCTCACTAAGTTTGAAATTTTGGATTTATATGTCTTTTACGGTTTCTGTGTGTGGTGGCGGAGTAAGAACTCAACATATTACCAATTCTTTTTATTCTTAGGATGTCTTAAATGGCTACTAAGGAAATATGTGTATATATATTATTATAATACACAGCATATAAAAACAAAAACTCGAAATAAATATTAAAAGTATACTTAACTAAGACGTTAAGCTTGCGTGGTAATAGTAGGCTAAAATTATCCTCCTCTTGTTGTAAGAGATCTGTATCCAGTAGTGAGACATGGGTTGATAATTAATGCTTTCTAGGACTGTAAATATTAACTGAATATTTTTGCGGTTTCATACTAACAAACGTCTAAAACAAACTCCACCATTATCTGTGAACGATGAAATAAATTATCATACACCCCTGTCAGCTGTATATCATTTTTTATCAGACAAGCTTATCTCAGGCATACGGCTTAATGGTTTTGATGCGGAAACCCCACTTGACATATCCTGGCCGCAGGTAATCTAGTAAAAGCTCAAATTAATAATTGTCGTTGTCACCAAAATCCTTACTATTATTAAAAATATGAAAGTGTATTCGTTTGCTTGTAACATCTTAGTGCTTTAACGACTCAACCAAACGTCATGCAATTTGACGTACACATAGTATTTGGAATAAAGGAGTATATGGACGACTTATGATCCTGGTCACATAGACGAAGTAGCGAGTAAAAATTAGTATAATCATAAATTCATATCTTTTGTTTTCATTACTTTAACATCTATAAGTTATTATTTTTTAAACTTTAGTTTTACACTTTTAATCAACCGTAATATTAACGAATATTAAATATGTCTAAAATTGAATTATGAAATAGCAACACCGCGTCTTTTTAGCAGATATGTGGCAGTAAATTATTAACATCTCCGTAACTATAAATATACAATTAGGACATACAAAGCCAATTCGGCTTTGTATGCGGGTGGTAAATTTTTAATTATAGACAATAATATTTTCGATAAACAATCCGAAACCAGCAGTAAAATAATATATATATATATATATATATATATATATAAAAGAGCTAATAAACAAGTTTTTTTTTTTATATATAAATTATTTCTATTCTAAACAAACAGCGTGATACATTGTACCTACTATAGACTATTAGTAAGAGACGGAAAAAATAAATCCAGTATCCTTAGTAATATTATAAACTACCTTTTACCTCGTCCGCGTGACCGGGATATATTTACATTTATAATATTAGTAAGGACGTAAAAATGAGTTTGTTTGTTTGTTACCTTATAGCGCCTTAATCAATTACTATTTTTAGAAATTTGGTATACACCTATTTTATGGGATGGAGATGGTGTAACCATCTACACCGGTTATTTTATATTTTTGTCAGTGTACCACGTAATATATCTCGGTTACACGGACGTAGTCGCGGGCGAAAACTAGTAAATTATATTAGGGAATGTATTATTTGTTGGTTTTATCCAATGGCAAAAAGTATTACTAATTATTTTAATGGGAAAATTTGTATTTGCAAGTAAAACGTTTTACTTACTGGATTTCAATATATATATATATATATATTATGTACAGCAGACTGCTCATACTCGTACATAAAGCTTGCGGAAATTATTTTTATTTAAAAAGAAATAACAGTCTTATTTTGATTACTTTCATATAGACTAGAGCAAAGACCTATTCACATGATAAATAAATTTATGATGGTCCTGTATGATTTAGAGGCATTAGTTTTTACAGCAATTTTTATGAACAAAGCCTGGAAATGGCAAACATTTTAACTAATTATTATAAACTGAAAACGGCCACAGAGCATTTACACAAAGTATCTTAATTTGCTAACTATTAATAAGGACGATAAAATGTATTTATCTCACATTACAACCACGCCTAAATACTAAATGATTTAATTAAATCTCATATGCCCGTTTTTACGGAAGAAATAGCTGTAACTAACAGTATAATCAAAACTACCCTCATGTTTGTAATGTATTTACCCTTTGAGTATATAGAGAAGATGTATGTAAACTACAATGTATTTTTGTGTTCATTGTTTAAATTGTCGAGATAAAAAGAAAGGATTATTAATACAGCAACTGTTTGAACGGCCCTACTGTTGTAAAACAAAGAGCTTTTGTCTCCCATATTAGTGTTGTGTGACGTTACGCGGGCGTGCATGCTAGACTGATGATGGAGTTTACGCTTAGCTGAATTTTCAATGATTCTAAATTCAAAATACTGAATATAACATATACGTCTATTGTTTACCTAGTTACCTCTCTAGAAAATGGGTTAAAAGTTCGGAAATTTCCTTGTCTAATTGGCATTTCACGTCTTATTACGGAAATTATAAAATGCACACTTTTTATAACAACAACAACAAGTACTATAATTATAAATTAAGCTATTAAGATAACAGCTGTATAGGTATTCCTTTTGACTGTCTGATCTGTATTAATGTGTTTGTAAAACATTGTCTGCACAGGTAGAAAATACGTAAATTAATAGCGCAGAATGTTTTGAACTGGGATTTAGCTTCATAACGAACAGATGTAAGGCGGGTGTTTATACTATTACTACAAACAGAGACAGGTCGTTGATCTACATCTAGCCGACTGACAGACAGACCGACAATATAAATGATGACGTTATATTTTTATGCACCTTACAGATCATTACTGTTCTGTATGATTGAGAATCGTCATTATTGTGTTACTATGTTAAAGTTTCTCTGAACTTTGTAGATTTAAGTAACTAAATATCTAATTCGTTTTAAAACCAGCATGCATATCTACTTTTTAAACGACATTATACAGAAGATATTTTTTTTATGGCTACATAACTATTTTTGCTATCAATTAAAAAGAATCATCTGTAGTGATTAAGATAGGTATGTGGTATTTTAGTCAATTCTAATTATTTTTATACACATAATATACACACAAAAGATACTGTCAAATTAGAGACGATTATGAAGTTTGTTGAAATTCAAAATAAGTTAATTAGATGTTTTACGTATAAATGAATAAGGAAAGTCTTTGTTTACGATGTAGTTATATGCAAATCAAAATATTCCGTCGATGAATCATTTTTACTTGGCACATAATTGCACTTCCTGAGTTTTCTGAATAATAAGCATATAAAGTGTAATAATATGACTGCACATTGTGTACAGAAGTATTATCTACTAAGAAATATATTAAATACATGGCTATAAAAAGATTTTGTGACATGACAAAGAATTTGTGGCAAAAAGCAAATACAATTCGACAATGAGCTAAAAATCCCTGAAAGTATTGCACTAAATCACACAATTAAACTAAGTTGCTTAAAAAATTCGATTCGACCAAAATGTAAATTTACGAGTATATCAACGAAGTAGAAAAATTTTAACGACTGTTTCGGAATTATCGTAACAGAAAAAGACTACAATATATATTACTTATTGTTACAGAACGACCTGCGAGAGAATTTAGTCGACATAGGATTGTGCAGCCAACAGTTCAGCATGGAAGAACAAAAAGAGAGATCTCAACTACTAGGGACACGGTGAGTACAGAACGCACGGAAAGCTCTGGAAGGTCTTTGTAAAGAAATTACAAATTGTAATGTAAAGATATTGGAGTTTGATGGTTGGATCGGTCGGAGGGTTGAAGCTATGGTCGAGGAGTGATGGTTATTTACTATCGTAACGGATTTATAAGAATCTGTGGACACATTGACGATGTCGAGGTGTTGTATTTTCCTTTATATAATATAAAACAATGGTATAATTATAGATAATTATATCATTGTTTTTTTGATACGTGCATTAGGATTTTTGGTCGATTTTATTTAACATCTCAACGCAAGAAATTTCAAAATGAGTTGCCATTCTGTAGCACTATAAGGTTTTTTTTTATGGGTTATAATGGAATGGTAACCCCACCCTCGCTATCGGTATACACCGGCGGGATACCAGTGATGGATAATAGATGAGGATGGAGCAGGTCAGTTAGCCCATCGTGACGAATTCAACAAGAATTGTTCACGATGGTTTCCAGGGGCAACCACGTGGAGGTCGACCTACTAGGGCATATTGCTAGCAATGGGGCTGTCAAACTCCATTACTAACAATCCCTTTCCCCCCACTATTAGGTATTTTGTGCTTGTAGACGTAGGGCGCTCTTTTACATGCGGGAAACAGATGTATATATTGTTTCCCGGCAAATGTCAATAGCAAGGTCAAAAGACAAAGGATGTTTGTGGACATATGTGCATGTATCAACTGATAGACAATACGAGTTGCAGGATTTCCTATTAATCCTTCATATGTACGGATATCAGTAACCGATTAATATTGAAGTACTTACTGCTATTTATCTACACGTGTCAAATCACTTGCTTCATGTTTTGTGATTTTACACATCTTTTAATAGTGCAAAACAATATCGGTAACTTTTTATATTAATGGTATATTTCTTTAAAACTTCAACAACAACCATGGCATTTCGCAATATTTTAAAGACAAAAGAACAGAAGTGAAGTTTAATAAAATAGTTTACTTGAAATCTGGAGCTGCTCATATAGCTAATCATTTTCTTCCCTTTAGAAGATCGCATCCCAAAAACTTTCCTTTTCCTTCGATGGGTTCAGGATGTGTCTATTTATTCACATTTTTTTTCTTATCTTTACGTCGGGGGTTTCTCTGTTCTCGGGATATGTTTCTTACGATATAAACCGATAGTACTGATTAACAAATGTAAAATGTATGGAAAGGCCATACATTTTACGTTTCGTGTTCCATCACCTTGCATAATTGGCCTCTTGCATACACCTCGCTATCTCAGAGAATTTGTTCTTCCTTTTTAGGCAGTTTAAGATCTGTTTAATTTTCGTAGTTATCTTTCCAAAAATCAAGGGTTATATGAAAGTTTATTATGTTTATATTACAGAATGGTGTACACCATACAGACGTGACGGTGACCGTTCATATAGATGGTGAAGATTATGTACTCGACTTAAGACTGAACCAGGATCTGGTGACCGAAGACCACGTCATCCGGTATCAGACTGGTGGAAAGACTGTTACACATAAGCCTAAGAAAGAAGTAAGTTGCTTGCATGGATATTTCTATCGCACTCTTGTTTCTATTTTCAATCAGTTTTTTTTGTAATGTTCGGAGAGCATTGTGCATGCCTATCGTAATGATATATTATGACAGTGTAAGATCGAATAATAAGGACGAAGTAAGGTCAGTTGCTTAGCGGTGGTGAATTAAATGGGAAATATTGTGGAGGTATAGGTCACCTCCATCAAGATCTCTTCTATCGTTCCTCTCATCGCCAAACTGTTGTCTTTGCATAGCTATTAGCAATAAAATTACTTCGTAAGACCGTATTACTCTAGTTCGCATTATTAGGCGTCACAAGCTACTCTGTGTTAGTCATGGTCCTTTTCATGTCTATAGGCGATGGTTATCATTACTCCTTAGGTTAATCTTCAGCTTTGGCAATCAGCAATTTTAAATAATCATAACATTCATTGCCTACATAATAACACTAAAAAAGTCACATTATTTCATCCATTTTGAATCATTCATTAATATGCTTTCAGGATCTCGACCTGTGTCAGTATTCTGGCACGGTTCGCGGCAAACCTGGCTCTTGGGTGGCAGTGTCCACCTGCCGCGGCCTCAGGGGTATTATCTACGATGGGCAAACTATGAAATACATCGAACCAGCACAAGGTTTGTATTTTTAAATGACTTGAAAAAAGGAGGGGGTTCTCAACTCGACTGTTATGATGTGTATGTAACATGAATTCTCAGTCAGTCTTGTCAGTTTTATTATTATAACCTCATATACTTCACATAGTTAAATAAAAACAAATTATACTAATGTCACTTCCAGCAGAACGTACTTTTATTTCACATAATATGCCCAAAAATAGCACTCTCCTCTGGAAACTAGCTAAAAGTTTGTGATTAAGCTAAAATTGTGTGGAAAAGGGGTAAATAAAGGGCGGGCCGCTTTAGTTCTAGTCTAATTCACAGGTGTGCCATATCGGTAGTCGTAACATCTAAGTGCGAACGAATTTTACCTAGCTCTGTATACGGCTAGATATTCTATCAGTTGACCTCGTAAAGACTATTCGTGTCGTACAACTTGTTGGATTGTACAAGAATGGGTATTAGTAATTTGGTTCCGTATACTTGACCACCAAATACGGTTTCACGGAAAAAAAATCCATGAATAGGCAGTGTAGTACTTTTATGTATTTGTATGTATATCAGTACGAAGTAATTAAAAATCGATGTAAATCTAATCTTAAATTAATAATATTTATCATTTTAATTCGTCCAATATCGCATGAACCTTGATAATAGTAATAAAATGGACCAAAGACAAATTTACTTTTTTTATCTGTTAATTATAGTGTACATAAATAAATTAAAAAAGTAATTGTTTAGTTTCTTGCGGGTTCAGGAATTGCAAAACAAAAAAAAAATACGATGCAAGTCAATTTGAATAAAGATTATTTGTATTCTATCACTTAAAAACCTACTAATATTGTAATAAATTTTCTGACTGGTCCAATGTAAACATTGATTAATTCATAAAAAATTTTCTTTTTAAATATCAGATCAATTTTAACACAAATATCGGACACACATTTTTTTCCGGTTTAAAGTTAAACTGCATATGATTATGGTCTAGAAATAGATATAGACATATATATGATACCGTGATGTTTTTTAATTGGGAATTGCGTGTTGAAGAAAAATCCCCTAGTTAAAGCTGTATATAGCCAGTTACTGTTTTGTTGAAACAGATCCAAAAACAGCACGCATCCCTAATAATATGTACAACCCCGTGCAGAACCCTAACTTTGCTTCATTTATCGACCCATTACGTCAACCCCGTCGCGCCAGAATTAATCAATTGACACGTAGTAAGACACATGTTAGTAGGGCACTAACCCCATTAAATGACAAACCATTTTAATAAATTATAATGTGTGCAAATATTTGTTAACTTTTATATCTGCGCACATTGTATTTTAATTATAGATTAAAATGTGTTGACAGTTGTATGTGACTATACATAAAAAATACTACTAAATGGTAACCGTCGTCGTTTAGGAAAATGATAATGTGGTGGATGCCATAGAATGTACCTCAAAATATGTTGCAATTTTATAACTATACAGACTGATACGTAACATGTTAATGCGTCAAGCTAATTTCAAATCAGATGGAAAATCAGGCCAAGATTATCATTTTTAAAGAATGACAATGGCATAAAACGAAACCAGCAATGCATTATATAAAAATGAAATTGTGAAATAGTGTAATTGATTTTTTAAATTAATGTAAACTCGAAATTCCTTGAAGTGCCAGTAATTAATATTATCAATGTCACTATATAATATTAACGGGAAAATTTAAATGTACGTGTTTTAATCAACAGGTCACGACATCCAATCCAGTCATTACATTTACGACCATGGTGATCTGAACACAGTCAACAAATGTGGTTTTGGAGGTGTCACAAACAACACCCACTACGATCCGTTGCTGTTACAGAAGTACCATGCGAAAAAGGAGATGCAAAAGAGTAGGATAACACGAGTGAGTTATATAGCTGTTCATTATTCAAATAAACTTGCCACATATGATGTTTTAGGAAAAGACATTTTCGGACAGTTTGTAATTATTTATATTTGGCGCGTACTATGATTTCAATTAATTTAATCATTAATTTGAATACCCCTTAATGCAATCACCAGATTAATTTCTGTTTATAATACAATATATAAAATAATATATATATACATTATATTGCAATAGTTGGAATATTAGTTGTAAAATAAAGATATAAGCCAGCATTCATGAAGATGAAAACTTTATTTCCTAGAAATATAGACTAAAATATGTTAATTATTTTTTTTATTTTTTATAAGAACTGGATAGTCTAAATACTTATTAGTGCTAGGTTTCGTAATGTTATACGATTTTCTTTACATTTAGTTAATATTAAATGTAATTTTTCAGTATAAAAGGGACGCGACCGATGACACTCTTGTCCGAGGTCCTTACAATCAGAACAAGATGTCCCGATACGTGGAACTGGTGCTCGTCTCCGACTACCGCGAGTACCTGGCCAACGGCGAGAGTATTGAGACTGTGCATCATCAGCTCAAGGACGTTGCCAATATTATAAATGCGGTTAGTTATGACGTTCGAAATGGACTATGTATTTAGCTTTTATTTCTATATCTTATATAAGCAAATATCGCATTATCTTTCAGAGCATTTTAATTCTTACGTACTTTAAGTTTTCCTGTCTCATTAATTATTGTAAAGGAAGTAAAGATTGCTAAAATACTGATTGTAAAGTCTTATGAATTAGGAAAAGTGTTACAGTTATTTTTAGCGACTGCTATTTTGTTTTATAACATATATAAATAGATTATTATGCTTTTACTCGTCAAATTAAATATTATTTTCATAACATTTGTTCGGAATACCTTTGAAAAGGCGCTTCACGAAACGATGTCCGAAATATTTTAAATTGCACGCCAAATTGATTATTTTACGTTGCTCATTGGGTAAAGTAATAATAAAAAATGTACATCCAATCAGTATTTGGCTGCGAATATGTCTATAATTTTGCTATGCTATAAAAATTAACTTATGTTTCAGGTTTACTCACCGTTGAACATTTTCATAGCTCTGGTCGGTGTGGTGGTGTGGAGCGAAAGGGATGAAATAGAACTAGTCGAGAATGGGGACACGACGCTCAACAACTTCCTTTACTATAGAAGACATGTACTCTTACGGGATATACCGAATGACAATGCGCACTTGATCACGTTAGTACATCGAACATTAGCTATGGTTTCTTTTTGTTATATCCTTATTTTTTATTTAAAGCTAGAAATTGTTTATTGTTTATTTTATACAACTTAGAATGGCAAACAAGCTGATGATAGTCCACCTGATAGTGGGGAAAGGGATTGTTAGCAATGGTTTTTGACAGCCCCATTGCTAGCAATATGCTATATTAGGTCGACCTCCACGTGGTACCCTCTGGAAACCACCGTGAACAATTCTTGTTGAATTCGTCACGATGGGCTAACTGACCTGCTTCATCCACACCTATCATCCTTCACTGGTGCTCCGCCAGTGTATACCGTTAGCGCTGGCGGGGTTACCATTTCATTATCATCCATTAAAAAAAAAGTCCACCTGATAGAAAATGGTAATCTGCGTCTATATATATGAACAGTACTATGGGCATAACAGAGTATACTAGGTGATGTATTATGATTATTATATATAATTATTTAGTGCGTGAAAAACTTTTATATTTACCATTTATGATTAAATATTCCATACTAGAAGCACTTTCTATAGTTTTTGTGGGACTAACATCACAAAAGGAAACAGACCAAAAGTAAAATGTTTATAATTAAAAATCGTAATTGTAAATACATATATAACAACATTTTTATTTTGAATATAATATATACCTTCTATTGATTGTTAGCTTTCCTTCCCACGGCATTTTAAGAAAACCCTTCTTAATACTTACTTGTACAGTTTAAGGAACCCCTGTGTCTAGATTTAACATTTTAGGTTGAATACTATCTGTCAGTCTGTTAGTCTTTCCTAGACTAGAAGAACAATGTTATGTTTATGTCTATCTAATAATGGTTCATAATAAATCTTTATAGTCGTCAACAATTCGTCGAAGGAGTGGTTGGAAAAGCGTTAAAAGGGCCGATATGTACCTATGAATTCTCTGGTGGGGTTGCCAACAACCACTCCGAGGTTATCGGCTTGGTGGCGACCACTATAGCACACGAGATGGGTCACAACTTCGGAATGGACCACGACGATGTAGACTGCGAGTGTCCCAAGGAAAAGTGCATCATGAGCCCATCTAGTACATCAGTGATGCCAACACACTGGTCGAACTGCAGCTTGAGCTCATTGGCGTTAGCGTTTGAAAGAGGGATGGATTATTGTCTGAGGTATGTGCTTATCATGTTCATTATTATATCTTATTACGTAGTAAGGTAATATGCTATTTTTCCTGGTAATTAAAACCCTGGTAATCTTCAGGAATAGCAAAGTGAGAGATATATCATGTTTGTCCTATTGCATTCTATGATATTCATAGAGTTGATTTGAAGTTTTCTAATGTGTTCATTATTTAGTTTCTCATGATACAGGGCATACAAGACTAAACAATTTATGTGATTGAATAAATGATTGGAAGAAAGAGTGTAAAAATTTGACCCTGGAGGGGTTAAAAGTATCAAAGTTTTTAAAAATTGTATAAGTGTGGGAAGAACGAGTAATCCCGTTTGCTCTTTTTTAATGGATGATAACGAAATGGTAACCATGCTTGCATTATCAGTATACGTTGGCGGAGCACCAGTGAAGTATGATAGATAGATGAGGGCGAAAGCAGGTTAGTTGGTCCATTGTAGCAAATTTTCCAGGAATTAACCTCGATTATTTTTAAGGGGAACGCATTGAGGTTGACTTGATAGGATATATCACTACTGCTAGTCCCCTTACTAATAATCCCTTTCTCTCCCACTTGCTTGCTCAAGCTTTATTTTGGTGTTTCAGGAACAAGCCACGACGACTTTTCGATTCGCCGACATGCGGCAATGGGTTCGTAGAGGCGGGTGAGCAATGCGACTGTGGACTACGACTGCCGGGCATGGCGCCAAATGCATGCGAGGCGTGTTGCCACGCGGACACTTGTATGCTACGCGCCAACGCAACCTGCGCGGCCGGCACTTGCTGTGACCTACAGGTACACTTGTACTCGGTGACATTCGACTTTATTATTTCAACCGTTAACTATCCACTGTTGAATATAAGCCTTCCCCATAAAGGATGTTTTTCCAGTAGTTGCTATGCTTGGCAGGCGGGTTGGCAACCGCAGTTAGGCTTTTAGAGATATTTTAAGAGGGACGCTGCTGCCCTTCCCTCGCTCTCCCTTACTTGATTCTTATGACACTTATGGGAAAAGAAGGGGTGGCCTTTTCTATAGGACCTACACGCGGCGGACCTACAGAGATATTCAACTTACTGACATCTATATTAGAGATTTATTTTGTATGGCGCGGTTTTTAATTTTGACAGGGGTTTATTATTTTAACGTAATGTTTAAAAGACAAAATTGTGTAAAAAAGTTATTTCTCTAGTATAATTTATTTAAAAGAAAAGCAGATCACGTTATCGATAATAATATATTTAATATTATTATCGATAACGTGATTTTTGTAATGTACTAGTTTTTACTCGCGGCTTTATCCACGTGACTGGGGTATGTTTACAGAGTGGGATAAAAAGTAGCTTATGTTTTTCTTCATTGCATATAGTGTGTGCATGTGTATATATAGGCGTGCCATGTATTTTTTTCAAATGGATTGGTGACCCCGCTTACGCTATCGGTATATGCTGGAGGGATACCTGTGATGGATGATAGGTGAGCGATGAAAGCAGATGCTTTCATAATTTTCAGATATCTTATTCGAATTCCGCAAGCATTACCTATTGTAGTTTCCAGGGGGAACCGCGTGAAGGTCGACCTAACAGGGTTTTTTTAATGAGTGATAATGGAATGGTAATCCCGCCTGCGCTATCGGCATACGCTAACGGAGTACCAGTGAGAGATGATAGATGAGGATGAAACAGGTCAGTTGTCCCATAGTGACGAATTCATAAATAATTATTCAAAATGGTTTTCAGGGGGAACCGCATGAAGGTAGACCTGATAGGGTATATTGCTAGCTATGGGATTGTTAGGTTCAACTAACAATTCCTCTCGACCTGGCAGGGTTTATAGCTAGCATTGCAGCTATTAGACCCATCACTAATAATCCCTTTCTCTCCTATACAGACGTGCCGGCCGGCGCGTGCTGGCCGCGAGTGCCGCGCGGCGGCGCGTGAGTGCGACCTGCCCGAGTACTGCAGCGGCTACTCCGAGCACTGCCCGCCCGACGTGCACAAGATGGACTCCACGCCCTGTTCCGCCGGGGAGGTCATTATTATATTTACCCATTAGCTAAGTAGCCGCGGCTAATAAATAATCAAAAGATAAGACAAACTTCGAAAAAAATTAGCAAAAAAAGTTTACTCAAATGTTTTCAGTTGTTTAGCATGATTGAGATACAAACGCCAAAGCATTTTTTACATTTTCAAAATTGGAGCTAGTTATGAAAAAACTGCCACACAGGATCTTTTCTGTGTAATTACTTTAGTTTCAATTATAAATATAATATTAATAGGATATGGTATAATATTAGTATGTTTGAATGAAAAAATTGCGAGATAAAGTATATTCGAAGAAGATCCATTCCTAGCAATCTGTTAATAATAATGATATTAAAATTAGATTCAAGAGCCATAAATCTTCCGCTTAATGAATCCTGAATTGGACAGAAGCACTTGAAAGCGTGAAAAAAAAAAAACTTACAAAAAGAGCTAACTGAGAGAGACTGAATACGTAATTAGTATATTCTAGACATATTTTTGTATAACTGCAAAATAGTTTCAAGTTAAAATAAATTAATAATAAAATACAATATATATAATTTCAAATAAAATACAACAAAATTTAACGTAACCAGCCTAATTGAGGTTGCTTAGCTTTTGCTTTCATTGTATATTTTTTGATGGTCCTATTTTTTTAAATATTTTATTAAATTTTAATAGGGTTCTCGATTTGATTGTATTTATATATATATTTGTTTTTAATTCAGGCATACTGCGTACGGGGTTCGTGTCGCACACACAACGACCAGTGCCGATTATTATGGGGCGCTACTGGAGAAAACTCTCATCCCAAGTGCTACATCACCAACAACGTCAAGGGAAACAAGTCAGTTATATTTAAACACACTACTATAACCATTGTAGTTAATATTAAAAACTATATTTTTTAGCTGGCTTTATAATTTTTTTAGAATTTAACATACATAATAATTTACTATCATGCTATTAAACTATGTAATTTCTTATCTTTATCAGCTAACGTAGGAACTTTATATACATAATAATCAAAATATATCTTCGCAAATGATTATACTTTATTTCTTTTATACAAAATAAAGAACAAAAAAAAGCGACAACAAATATACTTTCATAAATGTAATAAGGCTACCTATTTAATGTACTGAATTACAAGTGAACTATGTAGCGCCATCTAGTTGATTATTACAGTTTACTGTATGTTTGATCTGTCAAGTACGAGGGCATGCAATTTTTTTTTTTTTTTACATATTATTTGTTATTTTATGATGTTACAAAAACAGTATATTTAAACTAATGCTCTGGTTTTTTTTATTACAATAATACAGGACTGGCAATTGCGGCTACGATCGTCGCAGCATGACGTTCGCTCGGTGCGCGCTCGCCGACACCGCTTGTGGTCTCCTGCATTGTCGACACCTCAACGAGCGGCTCGAGTTTGGCATGGAGTCTGTCTCGCAGCTCGCCGCCGTCTTTATCAATAACAATGGTGCGGTCTTTTATTTAACGATTATTAAAAAAAATACTTAATTGAATTTAAAAATCCTTACACCTATAGAAATTTACATTGAGCTAGTGATATTGGCTCTTAGATTATATAGATACAACATCGAGTCTAAAAACACACTTCTACGGAAACAAAAAAAAATGTGTCAAATTTTTGTCAGCTAATTGTCAAATTAGCTGTAAATAGGGTGGTACTCGGGTGTTATTCCTCTGTACTCTGTAAATTCACGCCATATCCCACCCTTCAAACCGAAACAGTCATGCTAACACAATTGCTTTACCGTTGAAACACGAAGGGGACAGAGGTACCTAGGCAAACGACTTTTGTTCAAAGTCTCCCTCTGATACTACTATTACGTTACAAATAATCAGTGGGCCAATCACGTTGGCATGTCTTGAACAATTATATAACATTTTCGAACATACTTTTTTTTCAATTGCGGAATGTCGAATAATGTACAGTACATTTGTAAAATGTAAGTATAATATATTTGTAAAAGTGAAGGAACAATCACAATTAGCACTACTAAATCACCACATGGTCAACTGCTGATAAACTATAATCTCTTCTTATAAGGAGAGTAATCTACACATACTCGTAGTTGTTTTGCAGTCAAAAGTATTATTTTACAAGTTAAAACATTTGATTATAATATATATTTATAGTGTTCATATTTACGGCACATATTCATCGCCTTACAATATAATAATTATGTTTAATTTTTTATACATTTGATGTAAAATACACTTAGTAGCTATTTGTTGACCACAGGCACTATCATACCATGTCGCACTGCTATAATCGATCTGGGACTAAGTGATGTCGATCCCGGCATGGTTCCAGACGGCGCCAAGTGTGGTCACAACAAGGTAAATTAGTAACGTAACAAATGCATTGCTCACTGTCATAGAATTTCAACCAACTTTAAAAAAACCAAAAGATTCTCAATTCGGTTGTATTTTTATGTTAGTTACCGCACCACTCCTTCATTTGTAAATTATTTGGAATTATATCTGAAAGGATATACTTTTAGATTGGTCGCATAGAAATTTCATTAAAAATGGTACAAAAATTCTTTTTTCAAACCAAAATAACTGGTTTTTCTATAATTAAAGTTGATATTTTATTTGTTTTTTTTTTTTAACACATTCTGTTATTTAAATAAAGTCTGTTTTGGTATCTTTATTAACAATTTAATTTAACTAAAATTAAGTATTTTGTTTTCCAGATGTGTTTGAAGCAAAAGTGTGTGGATATTGAATGGGTGAGAGAGATGATAGCACATAAAGAATCATCTGTTTGTCCATCCAACTGTTCCGGTCATGGTGTTTGTAATTCTGAAGGTATATTTTTGTTTCATAACGGTTGTGTATCAACGTAACACATCATCTCGTCTTTTGATGATAGCTAGTTCGACCTCCACATAATAATACTATATTAATATTTTATTTATAAGTATATGCCTATTTGCATCGATCTGGATGGTTCCTAAGTGTAATATTTTTACCAATGAATTGTATTTAATTCTATATATTAATTATTTAGTACTGATATTACAAGTTACTTAGTTTCGGATGAGATGGTGCTATGGCTTAGTGTTTATCACTTTATAGTACATTAAACAGTCGCTGTTCGCGTCTATTTATCAGTTTACTTCTAAACCACACAACGGATTTTAATACTCCATCATTTATATACCAATGTCTAACAGGCGATGGGTAGGGGTAGAGAGATTGTTTGTAATGCGGACGTTAATCCCCATTTCTAGCAATAAACCCTGTCAGATCGACCTCCTCACAGTTCCCTCTGGAAACCATCGTGATTAATTCTTGTAGGATTCGTTACAATGGGCTAACTGACCTAGTTTCATCTTCACCTATCACCACTCACTGGTGCCCCGCCAGCATATACCGATAGCGCAGGCGGGGTTACCATTCCATTATCACTAATTTAAAAAAAAACAGGCGATCGATACAGACATTTTTTTGCAGGTCATTGTCACTGCGACGCCGGATTCGCTCCGCCGCTATGTTCGCTGCCCGGCCCGGGAGGTTCTTTCGACTCAGGACCGGCTACCGATCCCAGTGGTAACCAACATTTGCTTCACTTGATAAATCAATATCTATTACAAAATTGTCTGCATAAATTCCTGTCGTAATTCAAACGCCAGACATGGGATGGGATTGAAGGATGAGATATAAAAATTACCTAGTTTTGTTTTACATATATTAAAATTCACAATCAGCACGTAACAACAGTTTTATTACGTCCATAATATTGTTTATGTCTAAAAGCGACGGTTGCCTTTCATTAGGAGAGCTGTCAGCTTGTTTGAGATTTTCTCTTGTTGAAACAAATTACTACACTCCTTAAATATTTATTATAATATTCAGAAACCAAATACATAGTAAGATAATGTAATTAGTACAAATTTTATTGTGCAATAAAGAATGAATAAATAAATAAATTAATGTTGACACATAGAAAGCATTATATTTCTAATAATCTTATAGCGACAATCCTATGTGTAGGTATAAAATATCGTATAGGTAGAAAAAAGCGTATAGAGGTTTCTTCAGAATCGGCAACGCGCGCTTTACCTACTAACTGTATTCTACCAGGGGTATTGTAGGTGTTCATAGGTAACGATAACTGCTTACCATTAGGAAGGTAAGATGCTTGTTTCCACTTCAGTGATATAAAAAAAAATATCTGATTTATCTTTCGCTAATGATTAATTAATTAATGGACAAAATTGATTTACAAAAATAATCTAATTATTTACAGTACAAAGGAACTTCATGGTGGCCATGTACATCATATTCTTGGGGATCATACCGTCGATCCTCATCATCCTGTTTCTCATCTACTACTCGCGGCACAACGTGCTGCTCTGGTGGAAGAAACCAAGGAAATCGTACGTACCAAACTTTTGCACGGGTAATAACGCTCGCACATTCTTTGCGAACATACGTGCGCACAGTGTCACATCATCCATGCGAAGGTTGATTAGCTTTAAACGGGATAGCACTATAACACATGACATAAACGAACAAAACAAATCAGAAACAGACGGACTGAACGCAAAATACGATATTATCTTAAAAGGCAAGAAACCCTTAAAGAAGTTTGATAGGAAAATTAATAAAGATGACATACAAATCGCTGATGGTACTGTAACTAAACCAAAACCACCGCCCAAGCCGGTAGTAAAGAAAAATAATTCTAATGTCGTAATAGTTAAGGCTGGATTGACGTCGACGACTAATGAAATGGTGGCGAATACAGCTCAGAGATCTCGCATGCATAGCATTCATGCTGGGGAAAACCATTACGCTAATGTTAAAGTACATATTAAAAAATAAGTTTCATTGCTTAAAAAGTATATATAAAATGTAGGAAAGTGGTAATATATCAGTCACAAAAACACATTCATTATTAATCTTATTATGGGAGTAAGAAAAATGTCAACGCGTCAGAGTAAATCTTTAATGTATCAAGGTAGAGAAATGTGGATTGGAGGTAACAACCAAATTGATTAATAGACTATTCCCTCAGTATAGTAACAATGAACATGAAATCTTTTTTATTTTCTCTAGTCTTTCTGTTTCTGGTTTGAAATATATTGTTAGTAATGTCGTATCTATATACATATATATTGGTTTAAGTTTAATTTTTGCTGTAGTTTTAGTTGTGTTTGTGGTTTACTAAAAGTAATTGATTTTATTGTATTGACACAGCAAAACTGTGATATTATTAAATACTTGCATGGTTACAAAATATAATAGTTTTAATTGTAGTGATATTGAAACTTTAGAAAATATTAATTTATTGGAATAATATACTTAAAAAAAGAATGTTGCATGTAATAATTTAATAATGTACACGCACAGGTAAAAATTCTTGTACATTTTTTATTTGGCAATGTTACTTAAATTATGTAAATATGGTAACCATAATCACTTATAATCATAACTGAAATTGGATGGGTTTCTCCGAGGTATTAATACACATTTATATGCTTATTAATTAGGTATCAATATTTTATAATTTAATATGTCACAAGTTTATGACAAAGTAATTAAGATTATCAGTGACTATGTTGCACAGTATGAGTTTATTATCATTCTCTTATTTCACTTTTTCTTTCTTTCTGTATAGTCTTGTATATGTTTTGTAGATAGATAGATGTTGTTTGTGTTATGTTGTACTTGGTACTGTGTTGTTGTAATGAATGTATCTTTGTTCTATATAAATTTCGGTCATATTTGTAAATGCTATAACATTGCAATTAATTATTCATATGTTGGTATTTACTAAACAGATAAATCTTACTAATATTATAAATAGAAATATTAGTTTGTTTGTATACCTTTCGGTCGTGTAACGCTTCATCAAATAGTCATGATTTTTTTGGAATGGTTTCCTCGATTGTGCTATTGATATTCATGGAAGGGATACCAGCGAATGATGATAGGTGGGGAGGAAGTCTAGTGAGCCTATTGCGATGTATTCGTTAGAAATTAGACACCACCGTTTCCAGGATATCCACTAGAAGGTCGATTTCAGAAATTTGTGTAAATTTGAGATTGATTGACATTGATTTTGCAATTTCCTAGGGAATATTAGAGACATGTTTAAAGAATAATACATCAGAATTGGTACACTGTCTTGTGTTACTAATTACTCAGTGATATATAAATAGCCTTCTTAATTAAATTACATTATAAGTTTTTTCCAACTTGTTTAAGTAATTCATCACTAAAATCGTTAAGTGCAGAACAGAATAATAAAAATAGTCACAATATTAAAAGTATTTTAATAATTTTGAATATATTATGTTTTTAGAAATATAAAACTAACTGTAATTAAATATATCTAAAATCATTTTTTACCAAACCTTAAATAGTAAAATTGTTGCAGTAGATAAAGAAAACAACATTCCTCTAAGTAAGAAAGTACGTTGGCTATTATTTAAATGTAATGAAACTAAATTTAACTTATTAAATTATTTTTCATTGAATCTCTGTGAATTATTGCCACTAAAGTGATAGTAGTTTAAGTAGTGATGTTCTTATTTAGTTAACGATTTAATTTAATATATTAAGTATAATAACATTTCTTAATCCTGTTTTCTTTTCTTCTTCATAACTTTCCACAATTGTGTCATTTTCAAGAGTAATTTAATTTTGAATATATTACAATTATTACGTAATTTGTAATAAAAAATAGAGTTTTTATCACATAAGTTATATATGTTTATATAAGTTATATATTATATATGTTTGAAAATGATACGAAAATAATCACAGAACAAAAAAAAAACAGAAGATACACACAATATTTTTTTATTCAATCAATATGCTTATTTATGGTACTTATTTATTGTGTAAAATCTTAGGATCTAATGTTTACAATTACGACATATGTAAATAATAATTACGCCGTGTTAGGTAATGGCTGTGTTGCCGTTTCCTAAAAAAATAATCAGTAACGGTTTAGCTGGTAGTTAGTATATAAAGTAGATATTTTTTTATACATAGTTTTTGCAAGCTAAGGTTTTCCTATCGTTACATTTAAATGGTACCTATTTGTTGTTTTTGTTCTGTGATAAAAAATGTTGCCAATACATTTATTATTGTAATGGCAATGTTTTGTTTTGGTTAACATTGTAGATGCTTGTGGTGTTTTATTGGTGAGTGTTAATTCATTATTTGTACTTCTCTAACACAGCATGAGTGCATGTCGGTTCATTTCATACTAACGGAAAAATACTTCATCACCTTTGGTACGGTCATTAATTATCATTATGTTAATTTGGGCCTTAACAAGAACATAAATACTAAATTGAACGACTTTTATTTCTTGACTTGAATGCTCATAAACACAATTAGTTTAGCCTTGTTTTAGTTTATGCTTGTGAAAAAAATCAATTGTAAATTTCAACATTTAAAAAAAATAAGTTTTTGTATTAAAAAGAAAAATGTTATGTGATATAAATATGAAGCGGTGGGTAAAAATATAATCTGAATTATTTAAATGGTAACAATGATTGATCTGGATATTTATTTACATGCTTTTATCATCGATATGTAAACATGTTTAAATTTCAACATATTATTACAGTTATTTTTTTTTTTTTTGTGCAGGATGCAATCTCCGAAAAAATCGAGTTTACAACAACGCATTTCAAGGAGTGCGAGCAAATTTGCGGCGAATTTCCAAAGCGGCGCTCCAAGTAACGCTCAACCGGTCGTACATACTCTATCCAATCCTGATGATATGAGCTCGAGTCTCCTACGAAACGACTCGGACAGAAGTCCGTCCGGTAACCTTAACCCTACTGCTTTTTTCGGCAATTTCAAGGGCTTCTCCCTTACACCTATAGAGAAGAATCAAACGAACGCGAAAGAAGGTCCCGAGATCGCTGTAATCGATAAAAACTCAAAGACCTCAGACCCGAATAAAAGCGCCAAAATCACCCCAGTCCACCGTAGTAGCAGTAATAGTCAAAACATAGTTAATCAGGGCGTGCTGAAGCCGGTATTGCGTACTGCACCGCCATTGCCTGTAGTGCCTGCAACAGCCAAAACTAGTCCCAAAACGAGCCCATCAGTAAAAAGAACTAATAGTTCTGTTCAAAATAGGATAAAAGCTTTAATGGGTGAAAAAGAAGAACAGCCAATTATCAATCCACCACCCAGACCAGTTATATCCAGTCCTATTCTAGAAGCTTCTACTTGTACCGCAAAAGAACTCATATCGCCTCTCCAAGGATCAAAGACTCTGGGACCAATGAGAGCCGCTCCCACAGTTCCTGTTATATCCCCCAATTTGCCCAAAAGACCTTTGAGTATGCATTCAGCGGGAACTGTGCCTCAGAAACCGTTACCAGAAGAACCTAAAAAAGTTAAAGAGGGTATATCTCTGAATCGAATCGCATCATTCTTAAAACAAGACAAATCAAAAGAAAAAGAGCGTAATACAGTTGAGAGAAGCAATTCCTTGCCGAAAAATCCTAATCATCAAGTGAAGTTTCCTAAAGCAGTAGATAAGAATGCGTTAAGGAATCTTCAGATATCAAATCCCATATTGCAAAAAGATATAGAACTACCTGTTAGTACGGTGCCAGTCGTGTCGGATTCAGAAGACGGAGACGATGCCAAACCGTTCGTAAACAGAGCTCAAAGCATGCGAGCTCCAGCAACGCAGAAACCTATTATCCAGAGTTTCGGCTCTATGCGGCAACCGGCTGGTGCTCCTCGCCCGGTGTCTATGGTCGGAAGGCCAACGGCACCCCCTCCTCCCTTACCCAGCGAATCTCTTCAAACATACCAAAACTCCAAATCACAGAACGATATTAAAAGCACCGACTATGTAGACTGTATTGAAGAAAAACAAGCTCCATTGGCGCATATAGACGAGGAATCTAGTGACAATATTTATGCCATCATTGAGGAGAGTCCTGTAAAACACATGCCGCCTTTAGGCGGCTCTGTACTAGCGAAAACTGATTCCCAATCACCCCCTGAAGGACATACGACGCCTAAAAGTGTTCCTTCCAACTCGGGAAGTGCTGAAAGCATGGGGTTACTAGGTGAAATTGTAAACGAAATACAAAATCGAAACTTCGATTCTATTTATTCAGCGTCTACACTTTCGAGGAAGAAAGGAAAGAAGGAAGAGAATGCTGAAAATAGCCGAGATAGTACATATATGAATACAAATCACTATAAAACACCGGAGAGTGTATACAGTAATTCTGGCGCGAAATCGAATGCTTCTACGACGAGTAGCGGATACTTACATCCGTCCGCTGTAAATGTACCGACTTTTCAAAAAGACGACGACACGAAAGATAACGATAAACCTCCCTCATCTCCAACATTAAAGACTAACTCGAAGATTCCTACGTTTATAAGACAAGTGACACCACCGGGCCTCAAAAATACCAGTACTTTTAGAAACGTACCGCAGTCACCAAAAATTGCGAACAAAAATATTAATGTGACGCAGAAAAACATTTCCAATAGTCCGGATTTAGTATCGAGCTGTTCGGTGGCTGATACGAAAAATGTAAAAGCACCCGATGTTATCAATAATAATAAAGTCTCGACTGAGCACCCTAAAGTAGCTACGAAGCCCACGGTGACCGCTAAACCTAATGATAACAGACCTCCACTACGGCCGGCACCGACGATCGAGAAAAAAACATCTCTTAGAACTGCACCCACTGTGAAACCTACAACAAATCTCAGCAGAGTTCAAACCGAAAAAAATGCGCCCCTAAATCGTGCCAACTCAAAAGTGGACTCTAACGTTAAAGCGATAGCCGATAATTTAAATAAAAACAAGCCTAAAGTTGTGCCTAAGCCGACTGCAGTTAGTGTACAACGGACAGACTCTAACATCAAACCAAATGCGACAAAGTTGGTATCTAAACCGTCTAATGTCGCCAGTTTGCAACAAAAATTCGAAAATAGAAAGTCGTTTGGTAAAGAGATTACCACTGCGAAAAAATAGGCTTTAATTTAGATTATTTCGGACTTAATTGTTTAATAAATATACACGATTGAAAATATGTATATTACATATGACTTGAAGAAATCCAAGTATCGCTTGGATAGGTTTAGGTAAGGATTCGCAGCGTTTTGCTGTTGTAATAAAGACGAATATCGTGTTATGTGTACTGCACAAGTAAAATCAGCTTTAAATCTATGGACATTATGTATTTTATGTGGGTATTAAAATACTGTAATGATAGTAAATCATTTATAAATGAAATCGCAACCAATGGGTGTTATTTTCGGTAATCAGCGGGCAAATTGTGTTTTTGGGGTGCAAGTGGCCAACATTCTGGGGCCAAAGCCAACCTCACCTGCCTGTGGTGCACCCTGCTAATGAACAGACGAGGCTCTGGCGAACTGTTATCCAAGCTATTACCGAGTATAACGTCATATACTTTTTAGTTAAAAATGAGAGGTATATTTCAAACATGCACCAGAAAATGGGTAATAAACAATAACGTCACGACACACGGTCTCTCTGTCTATAGCAATGATAAATGTATCTGCGATAGACCTTTATATGATATAATTATTAGATAGATTTGTAGGCATTGGGGGCATTACAATGAAAGATTGAACTGTCATTAGTTACAAAGGTATAAATTAACTGTTGTATTATAATAGTCCGTTATCGTTTCACATGTGCATATATTTTAAAGCTGATTCTATTTTATAGCAGTCACTTACACAAAAGACAATTGGAGGTAGGAATCTTTGATATTAATTTTAAAATGATTAGGAGTGAGATAGAACTTTCCTTTTCAATAGAATGTATTGATTAAATTTAAAAAAAATCCATTTGTCAGTCTGTGCAATATTTACTAAAAATTATTGAACCGATTTAAAAAAAAAAACCTTGAAGGTATTATACGAGTAATTTTTTGCTTAGACATAAAAACGTGCACAGCGGCTAATATAATATGATATAAATCGTTTGACAGTGACAAATAGTTTGTGATTTTGGCGTTAGAAATTAATTGAAATTAAATATTGAATAATATCTAGTCTATTTTATATATAAACATTGACTTTCTAGCTTGATGATTGGACTTTAATGGGTAGTTCAATTTCATAACATGAATATAGTCAAGTGTTTACATTAGGATGTGACATTGGTGTATATCGTGATTGGTGTATATTTTTTTGAAAGCTCGGTGTACACTTAGTACCTACATAAAGAGAGTACATAAAATGTGATTTGAAAAATACAATTTATTAATAGAGTGTGGAAAGATACTATACCCACACTGATGTAATTATATTAGTTAGTCATACATATAAAGACTAAATAAATGTGAACTAAACTTGTCATTAAGAATTACGCTATAAGATTCAATGTCGAGTGACGTATAGTTTTGCTACATTCGTTTGTGATACAAAACAATAGATATTACATCTTATATGTAATCAAATTTAGAATAAATTTATTAATCATTTTTTTATAGGGTAATTAATGTTCCACATGTTAGAGAAGAATATATACTAATGGTGCTTCCTAATGTTAACACATTCTGTTTGTAGTGCATTATATTTATTGCCAAGGCTACTTAAATTTATTTACAGCGTATGCTTTTCTCCAAATATTTGGAAGCAATAAATAAATAGTTCTGTATTTAAAATGAAATCATTTTAAATATCTGGTATCTTTTAAGTGTAAATTATAATTTATAAATCTAGAAATGCAAAAAGTAGTATCATAAAAGTTATTTTAATAAGCATAAGTACTTTCCTTTAAAATTTGCAAAGTGTTCATAATTTTCTACGAATATGATTATAACTCGATTTTGCTAATTTAAAACTTTACATATGACATTTTAAATCGGTAAAATCGATGAGTTGTAATAAGTGATCTCTGTAAATACTCGAATAGGCAGCATTTTCATGTTTGAGAAAAGTTTCTTTTAAAACCAATGAGAGTTATTCCTTTATTATTAAAATACTATTGTAAGTAGGTGTTATATTTTTTGTCGTAAATTATTTTGAGATAAAAAACTTTTCTCGCGCATGAAATTTCGACTTTATTTGTATTTGTTTAGAGTTTAATCGATCAACAGTGTCTTATAATTCATACAGATTTTTATTTTTATAAAAAAAATAGTTGTGTCAATATCCATATACAAGTAATTACGGCTTGTGTTCAAATAAATGCGTGATATTTGAAACATAATGTATATGTAAGTGCAAATCGTAAGGCTCCGTCTAATTTATTTTGCTGTAAAAGTACAATAGTTTGAATTGCTTTTGATTGAAAATTATATATGGCAGCTAAGTAAGTAATGGTATGAGGTTTATCGATGCTCCAGCAATAATCTGATAGTACAGATAATCTGATAGTACCGATACTATCATATATGTTTAATATAGATATAATAGACAGATATGTTTAGGATAATAAATAATAATTATTGATAATGTTGCCAGTATCAACAATCCGATGGTACTTCAAATTACTATAAACATATATTATGGATTATCAGCGTTAACCATTAATGGTTTGGGCAATGATGTTGAATAGTGATTAAATCACACAAATGGTTCTAGATATTACATACAGCTATTGTTGTAATAATAAGTTATAAAATATTATGACCATTTATGTACTGCTCGCGACTACCGTCAATCCACATACATTCGGACCAAAATAGATGTTATATATCTTTTTTAAAAGTACGTCTTAAGATAAATTTGAAGAATAAATTTCAGAAATGTTATTTCAATATCTCTAATCTTTTATGACTTCCACTATTAGTATCAATGACTGTTATCCTACCGTCATGATTAGGTATTATATGGTATTATTTAATTTCTAAAATAAATAAAGTATATATGTGCATTTAGAAAATGATATTCCCTAAAGGGTCACTATTCCAAAAATGTCATTATGAGATAATAGAAGTGTTTAAATGTATTTTATTTTTGTCCATTCTAAAATACCTACGTGATCGATGTATGTGGATAAACAAAAAACTATTCGAGTCATCTAAATTATTTTTTAATTGATGATCACGTGTCAGAGATTTCGCGCTGGCGTGATTTGTTTGATATTAATATAATTGTGGTCTATATTCTTTATTTCATAAGAAGAGTAATTCTTGTCATTAGACCGATAATCTAGTATTGCATTAATCTACGTGCAGGCTCGAATTTTTTTTTAACGTTAATCTATTTATATTTCAATTACTGGTGCTAGAATAATTTGATAAGCAAGCAGCAAGAATTTTAGTCGCATCATATTGCCAAAACACAATAAACATGTTATACTAATCGTCCATATTCACTGCCAGCTTGGTACAAACTGTATGGTGCTGAAATATTACAGAAGAAATAGTCTATGATAGCAAACACGTGAAAGAATATCCTTTAGAGAAAACATCGATTTAGGAATGATACATTGTAAACTAGGCAACTATGATAGTCTGATTTCAGTCCTACGAAGTTTCCACTCAAAAAAATCACGCATCGTTCGTAATAGCTCTTTTTACAAATTGAAATATAACATGCTTCAACCTGTTATTCTTAAATTGATGGAAGACACAAATTAGTCGGAAATATATTGACCTTTATTTTATACCATGTTAATTCGCTCTATGTATTTCTGTTATTATTGAAATTACCCTCTCGCTTTAAAAAATACATTATTTTATTTTATAATGCTAAGAACAAGAACAAATTTGCTGACGGCCCAATTGATTGCAAACAGTTAATATCTTATATTCGTACTTGTGTTATCTGACGTGATTGGAAGCACAAATACAAATTGAAGTACCTTATGTTGTGGCTAAGGTGACATTTTTGTCTATTGTCACAGAATATTTATTACGTTAGTATTTCATTTGGGCCGTTATACATACGGGATATCTGAATAAAAGCGTATAACTTATATAAACAGCATAGCGAAAATGGTTATAATAAATTTTAAATACAGTTTACTCGTATTCCTACAAGTGAACAATTTTCCTTCCTAGAAACAAGTAAAAGTTTCATAGAAACCGCTCGGTTATGATCAATTGATAGAGTAGAAAAAGGTTAACAAAATATTTTTATATTTCAATTATGCTTCTTGGGGAGAGCTGTCCAATGCCGTGAACTCTGCATCAAGGTTCCGTATACAAACGTTAATATTATGTCCTTTTGATTATAATTGTAAATATAACCAAAGAAAATTATTTTAATAATACGTTAATTATTTGGAAGCAAAAGGGAAACTTAAAGCCTAGAAATATATTTATCGAACTAGGTACTTTCTATATTGTCTAATTAAATACTATCATTATTACAGACATTGTAAAAGTCTGTGGTCATTATAATATTGAAGACTTGTACGCCTTTTAATTAAAAATGAAATGTTCAGTAATTACATGAGTATTTTTATAATACCAAATCCCTACATTTCTTACTAAATTTCTCTAAATAAGTCTTCTACTACACATAGATGTCTTCTATTGTATGCTACTGCTACACTACTTGTTTATTAGAGGCAAATATCTTCTCTTTCGTTCTCCTCCAGAAAATGTCAGAGTCCTATTTTAACCTCATGTAAATAATCAACATCCCCATATATATATATAATGGTTTTAATTGCAAAGACTGCATATAGCGGCATGATATTAAATAAATAAATCTTTGACTTATAGGTGAAAATCTGACCGCTAATCTGTAATATGTTTTCGTCTTTACCTCATCATGTCATTTTATATACATATTGTTTATTATAATGACATGTTACAGAATACAGACAAGAGAAAATAATCGATGTAACAAAGTAATAAGTGAAGCATTCAAAATATGTCAACCCAATTCGGCGTTTCTTTTACGGCCTACTTAAACCAAAGATTTTATAAATGGTCTTTGACTCTACCTTTCGCATTATGGAGTAATATCTCTCTCATCTATAATGAGACGTTAATTTAGGAAAAATACCTAATTATGTTCTATGCAGTCGGGACCTACCGTTGGTGATAGGGTGTAGTACCTTTGCTTGTCGTTTGGCCCGAGCGGCGCGCGGGTGCTTGATATAATAATATTAGTTTGTTTATCGATCAGAATTAGGGTGTATAGCTTAATTATTAATTTTTATTGCAAGACTGTGAATTATTTACTAAATTGTATTATGTTTATTGCACTTAAGTTAGTTTTAAAAAAATCACCTTTAAGATTTTTTAGTAGGCAATGATTTGCGATTTGTTTATGCAAAAAGAGAAACCTATTAAATAAAATGTGATTCCAATGCTGTTTGTTATTTATTAAAACCTTGTGTGTTTCTGATTCTGTTATTATAATATTGCAATGGTTTTTTTTTTTATATACGGTTATCCCCCCTTTAACACGGTAGATACGTACCGCGTTGGAGTATTATATAACGCGCTTGAACGACGTGCGATGGTACGTCGTACAAGCATGTATGCAAGCAAATATGAGAATGCCTTCGCTATCGGTATTACGCTAGCAGGGTGAGTAGTGAGTGATCCGATAAGAAATTGTTAGTAATGGGGCCGCTAATCCCCTTTACCTACACACTGCAGGTACCGGATCTAAACTTCAGATGAATTATTATAATTTTACTTTGGTAAAAATAGCAAAATCCTGCTTTGAGGTTCCGAGTTGGATTCTTGATCGGGTTAATTTAGGAAATTAATTTTAATTTTACCAATAATCTCAAACATACACTTATATAAACTTCTTGGAATCTCCATCAGTGACATAAAAATATAACACAATCTGTGTAAAATACTAAAAAATACCCATAACTTTATTTCTACACATAAATACTTATACAAGGAAGAGGTGGAATAGACAGGCAGGAAAAGAACTTTTTCAATATAAAAAAGATATTTAAGAAAAACAATTCAAGACACTTACAAAATACTTTTACTGTATGAAACTTAGCTGGTACTGGTTAAACCTTCATATTTATCTCATAAGATGTCTTCAGTACACAATTATTGGAATAATTAATTTTCAAATATTGTGACTATAATGAATGACAAATTCAATGAAATAATCTTAGGTTAAAACACTTATCGAAATAGACAATTTATATTGGTTTATTTAACATACCTACATCACACATTATTTTTATTAATTTTTGGTTAAAACAAAGCACTATTATTTTTTTATATAACCCCACAAAACACTGTCTTGAAGAAAAATTTGATGTATGTATGCAAATAAACTACATAAATCAATGTTTATTTTATTTCCCAGCAGCCGTTGCTAGTGGATTCCTTAGCACTAGTATGACTGAATCACCTCTGAGAAACATTTTGGAGATGAATTTGTCTTTGTTGACAGCTTTGCCCTGAAAAAAAAAATACAAATTAAAATTTATTATTAGCAATAAATAAAGATATAGTGATCTTTATGAGAATGGTGGCCACATTGTTTTACAAAAATGAAGGTTTTGATTCCCATTTTGGGAATTATGGGCCAATTTTGAAAACAAACTATTTTGAATTGGCTCAGGTTTGGGTGTTCTGGATTGTACACACAGATGTTTGTAATCTGGTTCCTGATAATACAGGAACACAGGAAATTTGGCACACATTAGCTTGAGGATCAAGTATTGGTATATTTTGGCTACTATTAAGGTTGTTAAAGGTTGTACATGTACACTTTGTTAATTCTTTTATTTTTATTTATTATTATAAACAATTATATTTTTTTTTATTTCAATAACAATGTGTCATTATTATGTAGCCTTTGTCATGAAATATGATTAATAGATAGCTTACCTAGTTATCTTTATTTATAACCTTTAAAGTGCTTTGATTTGTAACAGTTGTATTGCTCCTAGCATTAAATTCAAAACAGCAACTTTATATTGAAGTTGATTTATAATATTTGTAACACAGTTTTAAAATATTTTAAACTTGTTGTATATTCTGTCTCTACTTAATTAGTATTCATATAGTAGGTACTTGAATAGACAAAACAAAATGTAAATATAGGTTCTGTTCTATGTTGTTAGTGCTGTATATTATTATGTACCTAGGCACTATACATAAGACATTCTTTGTCGGATAAATCAAATGGGGCAGTTAAAATATTAGTACACAAGGTACAACTAGTAATCTGCTCTCTGCATGCCCCAAATAATCACATGACAATTCAGGACACATTGATCAATCTAGTCGTGTGAACTAGACAACTGATAGGATAAAGTTCTTTAGACTGTGTTATTATTATGTTTTCCTTTAGCAAAACTACTCCTCACATTGTACCGAAAGAATTTCTTTAATGTAAAGGTTATATAGGTTATTGCTACTTTTATATAAACATGAAAAAAATATCAAAGTGAATTGATAATACATAGTTAATGTGTAAAAAGAATGTGTCGAATTAATTTGACACATTTTTTTCACGAATTGAATGCTCCACTTCTGGTGCACTAACACTATTTCATATAAAGCCAATTGATCATTGCTCAATTTCATACCGTGTAATGTCTCAATATAAATTTATAGATAAATCTATTGCATGCGTGTTTGTTGATAGAAATTGTACTATTTACCTTTTTTCCTTTTCCTGTTCTTGGAACCTCTGTCCACATCTCTTTCACGTTTTCCAGCACCATGTTGCAATGCCGGTCGAAAGCTTTTACTCGACCAAGTAGCTTTTTGTTGTTACGACAGTTAATTAGTACTTGCGTGTTATTTTTTACCGATTGTGTTAGTACGGAAAGGGGACCCGTGCTAAATTCTTCCTCTTCTATTTTTGCCAATTCTTCCAGAGTCATTTCAGAGCGTGGCTTTGATGTAGTTGCCCTGAAAATATAAATTTAATTCTTGAGATATTTTGCTAAAGTTTAAACGGAAGTCTATATTGCAAATAAACAATTTATATTTACATTGTTTAATCTTTGTATTTATCCTTTTAATTATTTAGAAAAGAAGAATCAATGTAGTAAAACACGCGTTGAAAACCGTCGAAAACGAATTGCCAACTCACTAACACATTTTCGGGCTAAATGAAAATAAAAAAGAAGCTTCATTAGATTAGCTTCAAAGATATTAAAATTTGACTATATTTAGACTTATCGGTTGACGGATTAGAAGAAGATGAAAAAGAAAGGTCATCCCTAATATATAATAAAAACAGAGAAAGTATTTGCGAAAATTTGTCTTTTTTTTCACAATTTCATTTCATAATCGCTCAAGTGAATATATTTATTTCTGTCGATGGTTTGGGAAACTTGTAATTATGACTTTTATTAATATTTTTCGCGAATATATATGAAAGATATTTTGATTTAGGATAAGGTCTTGAACTAATTAATATATGAATGCGATAAGAAATAAATGGGGCGAATGGTGCGAGAAGACTATTTTTTTTTTAAATATTAAAATGGTAACACTGTCAAACATAGAGTAGAAGTAAAGTTTTTTAGTTCTGTTTATTCCAAAGGACTCTGTCTATACAGCTAATGTTTATCGTAACCAAACATAAAATTTTTTGTTGTCAACGCCAATTGTAATTGGCGTTTCCTTACTTGAGAGATACCGTCTCAATTTTAGTATCTTATTACTTCTAAAGTTAGTATTAATTCCGAACCAACTACACTCTATTAAGAAAAAAGTCTTATAGATGGCGGTAGGGGGCAAAACGTTTGTTGGTTCAAGTATCTACCAACTTACACATGTATGTAAATAAAAAATATTCAGCTTATTTATGATAAGGGCTTCTTTTTCCTAATCAAATCCATACCATAAAGCAAATAGAGTATAGTGCATTACATCCGTATGTAATTATGTATAATCTTTACGTACCTTCCTTTGAAAACTTTCTTTAATAACGAACTTATCTAATCAAAGCGAAAAAAAATTATAATTTTTTTTGGGGATAATATAACGTTATCTAGCCCAGCAAAGTTTTGACATCATATCTCAACGGTCGGTGAAAAACGCTTGTATACCTATCAAGACATTGTTGCCGACGCCTATGTAACGTGTAAGTAGAATATAATAATCATTGCGGCCCTGCTGCTTAGCTATTTGGCTACTCCCCCTTTCTCGTAAAATTGATGGTAAGGTACCTATTACTTGTATTTAGTTTAACAACTTAAATTTTAATCAAATTTTTTCTCATTCGTTGCAGCATTTCATTAATATCAACTTCTAAATGTACCCACTGACTTCATCAATTATTACTTTCATACCTGTTTATATATTTTATTATTTGATATCAGTTGCATGGTTCCTATTTACTCTATGATTATATAGTCCTTGTCCCTATATTGGGTATTGTTATATATTAGGTAGTTACTAGAATAAGGGTCGTATTTGCCTAGTTTTTTAACGGATGACAATAGAATGTCAACCCCGCCTTTGCTAACGGTTTACACTGGCTGGGCACCAATGATGGATGATAGATATGAAAAGGCAGGCCAGTTAGCCAATTGTGATGAATGCACCAGGAATTCAGCATGATGGTTTGCTCGGAGGACCACATGTGGGTTGACCTGACAGGGTATATTGCTAGCAATATAACTGTTAGTATGCATTACTAACAATCCCTTACCCCCAGGTAGTTGTCTAGAAGGTAGCTATCCTTAGGCTATGCTGGATATAGGATACATGTGATGTCATTTTTCAGTCTTAAAAAAATTTACCAAGGGAGAAAAAAAGATGAATCTATGGTCTAGTATTATATTTTATTGATTTTTTTAATGAGTGATAATGGAATGATAACCCCACCTGTGCGGGGGGAAAGGGATTGTTAGTAATGGAGACTGGGAATCCCATTGCTAGCAATATACCCAGCCAGGTTGACCTCCTCGCGCTTCTCCCTGGAAACTATCATGGTTAATTCCTTGTGAATTCATCATAATGGGCTAACTGGCCTGTTTTCTCATTCTCATCCATTACCCTTAACTGGTGCTCCACTAGCGTATCCCGTTAGCGCAGGCGGAGTTACCATTTCATTTTCGCCCACAAAAAAAAACACCTATGCTATCAGCATACACTGGCGGGTCACCAGTGAGGAATAGTAGGCGACAATGAAAGCAGGTCAGTTAGCCCGTTATGACAAATTCCACCAGAATTAACCACGATGGTTTCCAGGGGGAACTATGTGAAGGTTGATCTGACAAGGTATATTGCTAGCAATGGGACTGGTAGTTCACATTTCATAGTAGTAGAATTTCATTCCTTTGTTTAAATTGTTGGAAAGGTTAATATCATAGTAATGGGAACTTGATTTATTACCTACTGGTATAGTAAAGGTAAGTAATTTGAAATTATGTCAAATCTCTAAATCAAATTTTAAATTTGGTGAAATTTGTATAGAAACAATATAGATTATAAATAAAGAGTCACAATAGGAAGGAGGGAGGGATATACACTATCAGGTCCTCAGGAACTTCACATGGTTCCCACTGGAAACCTTGTTGGTTAATTCTTGTGGAATTCGTTACAATGGGCTAATGGGTCTGCTTTTATTTTTATCTATCATCCCTCACTGGTATCCTGCCACCAATAATACAGGTAGGGATTCCATTCTATTATTACCTGATAAAAAAAGAATCACAAGGTAATTGAGAATCTCATTCTTTTTGGAATTTCTTAACCTTTTGACTGTTAGTTTTCATAGTGTGTGCTCCTTAACACAAATCTGTAACTTAATATTGTACCTGGTTTTTAATATTACATTTATAGTCTAAGATTATAAATTTATATTATTACAGAATTTTAATTTGATTTTCTGTCTACATTCTATTACTATAATTGTTGGATAAATCAATTGGCCAGTAATGAGTCTGATACACACTATAAGGTATACTGTCCTCTACAACTCTGGTTTCCCTTCAAAACACACTATCCTGTATAAAAATTGTTCATTTTCATTTATTTATTACTTTAATATTTGTCAACTAACAAATTTCTATTTATATTTCACACTGAATATTTTGTGTTATCTAAGTTTTATTAGGTATAAAAAGTAAATGTAATCTAATTCTTATTTTTACATGCTTGGGCAAAAAAACTAAAGCACTACAAATTTTTTCACTTTTACTTATATATCAACATACCTTTTAGTGATAGTGATATATCAGGAAAAGGTATTTTGAAAGGTAAGGTTTAAATTTTCAGGATACTACCACTTGAGTTGATGAGATGTATATATAAAAAATACATACTTTTTCATTGATTAGGCAATAAAAAATGAATGCTATTGGATGGTTAAAAATGTGTACAAAATTTATTTAAATGCACCCTTTAAATAACCATCCAATAGCATTCATTGTTAAGCATGCTTTTATGCAACTTAGAATGGTAAACAAGCTGATGGCCCACTTAATGAAAAATAGTTGTTGCCTATAGACATTCAAAAGTTGAAATTAATTTTTTTTTTTTCATCAAGTCATAATCTTAAATTTCCTTTTTCCAATTAAACTGTCCAATTTTAAAATCATTAAACTAAATTTCTTATGTAGGTATTATATTTGTTTAACATTTATAATATAATTAGGTAGGTACTATATTTATTTGTAATATATATATATATATATATATATATATATATATATATATATATATATATATATATATATACACAACTTGTAAATTACATTGTTAAAGCATTTATAAATATTGTGAGCGAGGGTGGACTTATCTCTGACAGAGATAATAAAATTGTAACTAGACGGGAGATACATGGTACATACATGGGGTCTTAATAAATAAATTAATAAGGCCAATAGATTCCTAAACAATAATTTTTAGAAATTTATCTATCAAAATTTATCTGTATGTATGTAAGTATGTTTGTTTGTTCTGACATCATACAAAAACTACTGCACCAAACATGTGATTTTTAATATTATTATTATTTATTTCGTTTGTTTTTGATTCCTGAAGATTTAATTTAAAATCTGGTGTATGTTTTGTCTTATGCATCACCTAGAAGTGGTTTTTTTTTTATTAATTTTTGTACTTCTGAAATCCACACATAATTTTTCTACATACATATTACATGTTGATAACATTCAAATATATGTATATATTCATTATTTCCTTTTATGAACTGAATAGCTAGATATAGCTATCTATATCTATAGCTAGAAATAAAATGATATTTATCACATAATATAAAAACGAAATAACAATTTTGCTCATTTATCTGGTATCTGATTATGACGGACGCAATACATATTATACAAATGAGTAAGTTATTTTTTTTTTAATTAAGCAAATATAAGTCGTGTATACTGCCCTGGTGCAATATACACGAGTAATATACACTTATATTTGCTGAGTTTGTGCAAATGTGGCACTTGGGAGGAAGAATGTCTTTTTTTAATGAATGACAGTGGTTTGGTGATCCCCCTGGGCTAATAGTAAACGCTGGCGGTGCACCAATACGGGTGATACGTGAAAATGGAAAGGCAGGTCAGTTAGCACATCGTGGCACATATACCTGGAATTCAGCATGATGGTTTTCAAGAGGGATCAAGTGGAGCTCGACCGGGGACTGATAGTCCCCATAACTAACAATTCTTCAGGGTTTAGGTCGACCTTCCTGTCCTGAAAACAATCGTGCTGAATTCCTGGGCTTTTCATTCTCACGTATCTTCTCTCACTCGTGCCCCGCTAGCGTATACCGTTAGCACGGGCGGGGTTATTATTCATTTAACATTAAATAACATAAGGACAAGAAAATGTGCCACATTCTGTCTATAAATTCCTTTAAAATTTCCATGTGTATGCTTCATCTACTTAGGCTTTTATTTCTTGATTTTCGCTAATCTTTCTTTAGATAGCAAGTTTTGTGTAGGTAATTTAGAATCAAGAGATCCGATATAGACTAATGAACATTGTTGGCACACATGTAGGTTTTTACAACAAATTGTTCCCTACCACTTGCATACTTCAATTTTCTCTTAGAAATTAAATTTTATTAACTCATTCTATGTTTTTGTTTCAGATATATATTTGAACAAGATGTTATCTAAATTCAGCAAAAATAGTGTATATTCTGGTACTATTGATTACTTCTGTCTTGTCTGTGAGGAATATCTTAAAACTGAGAATGATGTTACAGTACATATAGAGAAACAAGTGCATACGAAGAATTTGAAATCTACGCCGTACTTCGAGGATAAATTTCAGGAATCAGTAAGAAAGGTAAGGGTCAGCATTAATTCATATATGGCAAAGCATGACATGTTACAGGAAAGTTTTGCTCAGGGATGTCATATACGTTAAGGCCGGCCCTGATACCAGAGACTTATATTCTGATTTCCAAACAAACTCATTACTACAATATATGTAGCTTCTATACAACTAGAAATGATAGCATAGTATGTGATAATTATCGCTTTTAAACGGTATTTATGAATGTCAAAGAATATATTGTGCTCCTCATGGCGGTATACATGGTACAGAAGTAACACTTCTTGATAATTGCCAGGATGTATTATGACCAGAGGGAAACGTACGAAAGTCGTTTTCATGGGTACCTTTGTCTTATTTATGTTTCTGCCACGTTTGGGTGAATTTTTGTTTGATATTCCACATATGGTTGTAAAATTACAGAGTACGGAGGCATTTCTATCGGTTTGGCTATCAACTTGTTTGCAATTCTTTAAAAAAATATATTTTTTAATTCTTTTATTAATTTGTCACATTAGGGTGAAAGGGATTATTTAACAATCCCAAAACTAACAATGATTGTAACACAATCATTGTTTGTAAATGTGTCTCACAGTTTCATTGATAGCAATATTCTCTGTCGGCTTGTTGACCTCCACGTGGTTGAAACCTTTGTCATTGACTCTGGTCGAATTTGTCACGATAGGCCATCTGACCTGAACCTCCTTTTAACCTCTCATGACTTCTCATAGGTGTTCCGCTAGCGTATAACGATAGCGCAGTCAGGGTTATCATTCCATTTTCACCCATTAAAAGAGAAAAAAAACTGTCACATTAAAATTTTACTTTTATTATAGATAAATGTTTAATCTAACTTTAATATTAATTACAGGTCAATGCTGGATACTATTGTGAATTTTGCAATCAGTTATTTACAACCAGTGCCATAGTCAAGCTACATATCACCGATGCTATCCACATATCGAAAAAGAACTTTATTAAACGTGTTGGAAATACAATTGTAATCAATGATGATGTTTCTATTGATGAGAAATCTTGGAATGGTTTTATAGACAAGACCTGCTTTGTTTGTAATTTGGAGTTTGATGATGAAAATATCCATAAAACTAACAAGAAACATATTTTGAATTTGATACAGAGCAAAGTTGAGTTTCGTGATAAAGGGGTGTTTAGAAAGGTAAGACTTTTTGTATCCTCGGGATACGTTTATGTGACACATTTAAATAGATTTTATATAATTAGCAGTCAATTGTCTTAATCAAACATTGTCTTAATCTCCTATAAATGAAATTTGGTGAGATTTTGCCAAATTTCTCCGTTCCTTTACAGTGGGTCGCATAAAAGGCTACTAAGGTAATTTAATGGTCAAGGGATGGGCAACAGTGTTTTCTCAAAACATTACTAAAACCTAACTGAATTTGCTAACACGCTTGTAAAACGGAGCAACTACGAGCAAAATCCCTGGGGAGGTCTATGTTTAGTGGTGGAATGTGTAATAGTTTAACCACTGCTATAGATGGATTGATGAAATTATTATATTTCTTCAGACTAAATTTGGAATAAAAACAATCTGACATCGTGACACAGCTATTCTTCGCAAGAATATTTATTTAATACTTGAACGTATTTAACATGATGATGTTTAACAATTGTTTCTTTCAGATTGAAAACAATTTATTCCAATGTTTAATTTGTAACAACCCAGTGGATTCTACTCATTTTGAGTCAAGTGAGCATGAAGAAAAATATGAAAAATGTCGTCTTAAAAATATTCCTTCTACAAGCAATAGCATTGTACAAGAAACAAATGAAGAACAGAAAAAAACGGAAATCGATCCTAAGCGTAATGAGAACCAACTCGATAAACAAGCAAATGAAATAAAACCAAAAGTGAGTACAAATAAAAAGAAAAAAGTGCATAATAAAAATGTTGCTGACAATAATTATCATGACATTGATCAGTTTGTACTTAACAAATTAGGTGCCAAAGATTACGTTACTGATAAAGACAGTAAAAAATGGTGTTTGCTATGTGACTGGATTTTAGAACCTAACATAGTCTCCGCACACATAAATTCCCAGCATCATTTAACAATGTTGAGACTTCATAAAGAACGTATTGCAAACAAATCACCTATTCAGGTGGAATCAGATGTTGAGGATAATGCGGTATATGACAAAGTAACTACAACTGACCCTGTTTCTGACGAACTAATGGATTCTATAACTGAATTTGAGAGACACGGTGTAAAAATAAATTTGGAAATGCGTACGGCTTACTGCACAAAATGTTCTGTACATTTAGACTTTCAATCTGAAATTATTAAAAGCCATATTGAAGACCATAAAACTAAAAAGAACAAACAAACTGAGAAAAAAAACAAACCTGAGAAAGATAATAATGAACAGAGTGGTACAAAATTATATACGAAACCTGTGTCGATGAAACAAAAAAGTAAACTTAATAAAAGAGAAGAGGAGACACCATCATGTGAAAGTGAAGATTTGCAAAGATTTGCCAAAAATAACGATTTAATTTTAAAGAACAATAAGTATTATTGTAGCGTGTGTAGTGTATCCCTAAATGTCTCCTTGAAATCTTTAGAAGAACATGTTTCGGGGCCTGCACATAAGAACAGAATTTTGAGACAGATGAAGCAGTTGGATGGGAAATTAAACACCACTGCCAAACTACCAATGGAAGCCTTTATGAAGACTGTCAATATTGTCGAAAATATATTTTTCAAAGATTTTGTTATCAATGACAAATATTGCATCAATATTTTGGCTTTTTATATGTTCACAAGAATTGGAACTGGCTTGAGATGTCAGCCATGCGAGGAACAGTTTAATGCTAATGATGCAGATGTGCATAAGATTACAGATAGACATGCATGTAAAATGCAAACTGTTCCTGTTTTGACATCCTTGGATGGTGAATTTATAAGAGAGGTAAGGTTAAGTGTTTTTTTTTTTATACAACTTAGAATGGCAAACAAGCTGACGGCCCACCTGATGGAAAGTGGTAACCGTCGCCTATAGACATGAGCAGTACCATGGACATAACAGAGTATACTGTTTCGCCCATGATACTCTACATGCGTTGCCATTCCTGAGGACTCGGGTGTTATTCCTCCATACCAGTAAATTCACACCATATCCCACCCTTCAAACCAAAACACAGCCATGTGTTTGCATGCCTTACGGTTGAAACACGAATGGGATAGAAGTACCCAAGCAATCTACTTTTGTACAAAGTCTCCCTCTGGTAAGTGTTGTTTAAATATAAAAATAATGATTGCAATAAGGAAATGGGAATAGTAAAGACATACTCTTTGCATACCCTTTTTTGGTATATATTTGCTTTTATTTCTATTATTTATTAGAAATTAGATGTTTAGCCCAGTTATGCATTAGTGTCCTAATGAAGACAGTTGTTGTTTGTTTGTCATATAAATCATGTCCTAATAATTTACAAACTTAACAAATTAATATCCAAATAGGTTCAGTTCTGAAGTGTTATGCTTATATACATGTGGCATTTAATTTTTATTTATATTAAAAAATGTACAAACATAATGACAGACACTGGACAAACGAATACTTATGTAGAAATTTGATGTGTATATATGCTATCTCTTGAGACAAAACAAGAATATAAATCTGGTTTCTTGTTCTTTCAGGTATGTGTAGTAACATCTACAAAATAAAATAAGTTTCAAATTACAGGTACGCCCCAACGTGCTTCATTGTGGTTACTGCAATTTGGTTATGGACGAGGATAATCTGACTGACCACCTAAACAGCAATGCACATGATGAGAGCAAACGTTCAGCAAATAGCCGTTTGGAGAAATATCTCCCGGAAATACGGCAGAAACGTCAGGAGGAAACAGTACAAATGATGTTCATGGATATGTTGAGAGGAAGTCTAACATTTTAGAAAAATTTCAATATATCCATGATATTGCCTATATTTTTATCTCTTAAAACAATGTATTTTTTTATTATAGTCATTATTGTATGCAAAATAATAGAGATATCTTAAAGACTTACAAAGTATTCACCAATCATCTTTTTTAAATACAAACCAAATTGCTGTTTGTATAAATTCTGCGCTGTTATTGGTTGTCACTTTATGCTTAAGACATAAATAACAAACTAAGCGAAATGGGAATTACCTGTAAGTAGACATGACTAATATCGGTGCTGCTCCGATATCTATATAGATAATATATGTATATATTAGATTCTGAACATTAATAGCGGAGAAAAGGTCATTACTCATTTCGTTATCGCCCATACCAATCGGAATGGTTACAGATATATTAATTTCGATCGGATCTTCATTTTGATATATATATATATATATATATATATATATATATATATATATATATATATATATATATATATATATATATATATATATATATTACCTAATAGGTATGCAGTGGAAATATTTATTAAGTGCTTGAATGTGATAGAAAATGACCACTGACTATACCTCTTCTAATGGTATCTGTTATTTGTATTATATAGAATAAAATATTAAATAGTAGAGAATCTATTTTATCCATATTTTTTTTTCTTTTTTATTAAGGAATTTCGCGGTTGGCTTTTGGCCATATCAGAATATCAATGTTTTGCTCTTTTGCGGGCAAAACAATGGAGTTGTGACCTTTTTGTTTTTGTGTTACTATAGCACACATTAATCGAAAAAAATAATTATATATTATATATATATATATATATATATATATATATATATATATATATATATATATCGGTTATCGAGCTAATTCATAGTCATTACAACTACAATATATAGATATTGTATATTAAATATCCCTATTTATAAGGTGATTTGATATTCATGAGCAGTAATATTATAATACTACGGCTTTGCTATTTGTATGTTATAATACAGCTTATTGCTATATTTTCTTTTCATACGCTATTCATTTTGATATCTATATTTACTATCCATATATCTCGGTTAAAACTTAAATCTGATTTCCATGTAATTAGGTAAAAATCGAAAATCTGAATATAGTCTGATAATGTGATTTGAAATATGAACTGTGATTTAGATCATTCTTTATAAGTTTATGTGTAGTTAGTAAAGAGAAACTGTATAGTGCCTTTGTATGAATAACGTTATATAAAAAATGTAAAGCATTAAAAATGCTTATAACAATACAGTATTGTAAATTTATATTTTTTTATGGTTCTACACTTGATCGTTGTGATATCCATCATGTTTGAAACGCCATTTTTCTATCTAAAATTAGAATTTCAATTTTATTTTCCAGTGAAATCTTTATTTTAAGAATCAATATGAACTAAATTTATAAAAGATTCCAGTTAAAATTACGCAAGTTATATTGTTTTTAAAAATAGTAATTTTACGAAAATATTAGAAATTAAAATATTAAGAGATAAGTATATAGAAATGGTGACTTAGAGTCAAATATATTGTATATATATACATACTAAGTGATTAATTATATTGTTTGATACTTTTCAATCTTACAGATGCCTTTTAACATTTCATATAGAATTTTGTAAAAGATTTATATCTTCACGTAATAAGTAAGTCATTTACCCAACAACGAAAATAGTGTTTAGTGCTATTTCACTCTTTTTTTATATTCATATTACTTATTAACTTTAATTACTATTTGTCTAGCGTTGTAAAATAATGTTTATTCTTTTTTATTATGTTGTAAGTATGGTTACAAGTAAATAAACAATTTATTGTGAGTAGAAGAGGAGTATAGGGGAAATCTGTCACTTTACTGTCATTCATTTCATGTCATCAATCGTGGTTTTATTAAAAGGGATGCTGCTGGTCTGACAATTTTTCGAAAAGCAGATTTCGGAATAATTTCCTTTATAAATATGATATATAAGTTGATTATTGTATTATTATTCTATCTACTTAACGTATTCTAACTACACATTGAATACATACTGCACATGAATGAACATTACAACTATTGCTTTTTGCATATTCAACGCAAAAAACAGCTAAATTATCTGTCATGAATGATTATAAACTAATAGATTTCGGTAAACAATGTCGCTATTATGTGAAGTACTTGCCAGGTCCTAATCTAAAGGTTCCATTCGGGAAAATCGACTTCATTTGTTCCATATTTCTTTGGGAAAATATAATGTTAAAAAATGCAAAATTTTTTTTTATCTCAGTCTGTTAGAGATTTATTTTTAATGTTTTTATTCGAGTTGTTTACCGTAGACTGATTTGTTTATGATAAATTATACTTTATCGGACTGATATGAGATTAAAAATATCATTAGATATTTACAAAAAAAAAAAAAAAAAACAATTATATCTTAAGTTTTTCTTTATACGTTTTTAAATTCTATCAAGTCCTGTTTAGGTTATAAGGATACATGTTTGTACTTACAGGCCTTTGTAGACGACGAATTTTTTTTTTCTTTCAGGTTATAACATTACAACAATTTTGTATCTGTATATACTTTAACGTAGAACATATAACATGTCAATATAAAGTCAATTCTCCATTACCGTAGCTGTGCATTTTCATTTTAAGCACAAAATTTAAATTTCGTTTTCATAAACTTTAATTTCAAATTATCTCTACTAATTTTTTCACTCTGCAATTAATGAGTTATGAAAAAATACCAGACAGGACAAATTTGCTTTTATTATTTTAGTAATTAGTCAGTAGTTACCACGTTTTACAGGTAGGTTGGCAACTGCAGTTTTGATAATGTTTTAAGAGGGCCACTGTTACCCATCCCTCGATCATTAACATCTCATAGTTGCCTCTTATTTAGTTTGTCCTGTCTGCTACTTTTTCTTAACTCAATATTTATAGTATAGATAGGCGGTTTTAGAAAACTTATTAAATTCTCTTGAACTGATATGTCGTTTTGTCTATTAGCTATCTTTATTCGGTCTACACAAAATGCATGTTCACAAGTCTGAACAGTGGAATTTACTATTACTGAGTTTATGTTCTCTTTAATATAATTTTTTTTTAAATATTGTTATAAATAATTATTTGACACTTTTGTCAATAGGCAAAATATATATAGATGTGCCTTGATACCTTTCTGATAATATATACGATTATGTATATTTCCGGAAGTGTTTCTGTTACTATGACTGTGGCTATTTTCTCTAGTTATTAATTTTGTAGTTAGTAGTTCATTCATTACTTGTATTACATAAATATTTAATCTGTTATTAAAATATAAATTTATTATTTCCTGTATTTTTTTTTATACAACTTAGAATAGCAAACAAGCTGACGGCCTACCTGATGGAAAGTGGTAACCGTCGCCTATAGACATGAGCAGTACCATGGACATAACAGAGTATACTTTTTCGCCCATCATACCCCTCATGCGTTGCTATTCCTGAGGACTCGGATGTTATTCCTCTGTACCCTGTAAATTCACCCCATACGAGGTCTGTCCGGAAAGTTCGTATAAAAGTGTTCTGGAATGCGAGAAAGAGGAGTGGGGAGGCCAGGTAAGCGCAGGACCCCTTCCTTATGTCCCTAACAATGCTTCAGTTCTGGTCTGACCGCCGATGCGGTGCGAACTTATTTGCTTGTCACGCCATCTGTGAAGTTACCTCTTAACGAAACCCCGTCGGCATGGAGCCCGCTTCCGTTGAAGAAATTGAATTGATTCGAATTTGATGTCGAATTAAAATCCCAAAGCAAAGATAAAGTGGAAGACATCCGGGGAACCACGAACAAAAAAATCAAGAAAATCCCGCTCAAATGTCAAGACAATGTTGATTGTTTTTTTCGATGTTCGGGGGATTGTCCATCAAGAATTCGTCCCTCCAGGCCAGACAGTTGATGGAAAATTCTACGTCGATGTGCTCAGAAAGAGGGTCGCCTCAAAGCTCGTGTGGCACGAGTTCGTCCAGAATTGGCGCGAGAGGGGTTGTTGGATTCTTCACCACGACAATGCCCCTGCCCACACCTCTCTTGTTGTCCGTGAGTTTTTGAGTAAAAATTCCATTACGGTGACCGAACACCCCCCCATATTCGCCGGATTTGGCCCCGTGTGATTTCTTCTTGTTCCCAAAAACCAAATTGGTACTTCGGGGGCGGCATTTGGGGGACATAAATGAGATAAAAAAAGCTACGACGGGGCAGCTGAGAAACCTACAACCAGAGGACTTTCAAGGAGCCTTCTCACAGTGGAAACGGCGTTGGCACAAGTTTTTTTTCATTATGTCACAGGGGAGTACTTTGAAGGGGATAAAATTGATTTACCTGAATAATTGTAAAATAAAATTTTTAAAAAACTTTTTTTTTATACGTACTTTCCGGACAAACCTCGTATATCACTTTTCAAATCGAAACACAGCCATGCAAACAACTGCTTCATGGTAGAAACACGAATGAAACAGAGGTACCCAAACAATCGACTTTTGTACAGTCTCCCACTGGTGAATAGAATTTCATTTGTTCTCTGTAGTGTAGGGAGAATATTGTTCTTAATATTCAAAATATTTTTGTAAATTTTGCATTAATTCATATTGGTACTACATTAATTTTGTCACGAACAAGATAGCATTTATTGTGTAACAGTTTGAAATTATTTGGAACTGCCGAGATTTTAGGACAATAGTACAGTTACAGTTACATGATTGCGATAAAAATTACATTTGTTTTGCCCTATCAACTTGAAAATAATAAAGTGCGTGTCGAATTTTTTTGCAATTAACAAAACTTTTATTGATTTTTTTTAAACTTTGTTGGTAGAATTAAATAGTTTACTCTTTGTGACTTTAGCATCGACATCATCATATTAAGCCATTAACTGTCCATTGCTGAACATAGGCCTGTCCTATAATATAAAGGTGGGGTTTGCCAGTAGTTGCCACGCTTGGCAGACGGGTTAGCAACCGCAGTTAGGCTTTGGTAAAAAGATAACGAGGGGCGAGGTGGGGGGAGGAGGAACTGTTACTTATGAGATCCATGTTATCCATCCAATTGTTACAAATGAGAAGGCCATTGCTAGCAATGTACTCTATCAGGACGATCTTCGCGCCGTTAAATTTGGAACCTTCGTGGTTAAATTTGATGAATTCATCACGACGGGCCAACTAATCTGCTTCAACCTCACTACTACCCCGCCATTGTATACCGATAGCGCAGACGGTTTTACCATTCTATTTTCCTCCACTAAAAGAAAGAGGGTCGAGGGAGGTGACTGTAGCATGATCGCATGTATTGTAAGTGCAATTAAGCAGATAGTACTTAATAAATGTAGCATAAGAGGATGAGGGGTTGTTAGTAATGGAAACTAATTATTTATTACTAGTAGTACCAAATGTCTTAATCAGTTAATAGGGGAGGATCTGTTAACCATCGTGATTCATTCATGACATAATTACAATAATCCGATTGAACCGACTTTATCCTTACCTATCAGCCTTCATTGCTACCTTACCAGTGTACACCGATAGCACAGCCGGCTTCACTATTCCATTTTTATCTTCCTAAATAACTTTAGTATAGAAGCTAAATTTGCAAATCCATTTTCTTTCAGTTATTTCATTTCTGGATCAACGAGATTCTGCAGATAGACTTAAGTATATTAGTAACATAGTAAGGGTTTCAATTTCATCCTAGATTGTGAAACTGATCTAGATGTCTGTTATTTACAAAACTGTTGGTTAGATGGCGTTTTGCTCGAGTGCGCACAATAGGTAGCTCGCGATAAACTCGATCGTAACTTCGTAAGTAGAAATATTTATTTACTTTACGCTCCGACATAGTAGTCCGCACGCATTCATACACATTGTTGTATAGTGAATGGCCGTGTTTATGTGCGTATTTTGTAATTTTTTTTTTCTATTATTTTTGACGTCGGAAAGTTTCGGAAGAACTTTGTTGTGCTGTAGTGCGGTGATTAATGTGACTGATTTTCATATCGATACATATTTGAAAAATTTTATATCTAATCCTGAATTGCATGTTAAACAACTTGCCTAAATATTTTGACCTCGTAAATAAGGTAAGATTTTTTTTAGTACTAGATAATTATTTAAAATTCGTATTTTGAAATCTATAATTTTCATTTATTGTATAAACCTAAGTTCCAGCGTAGTTGTTTGGTCACGTACAGTTAGATAATAGATATTACTGTTAAATAATTTATTACCGGATTATTAAATAAATAATGTTACTAATGTAATAAAATTGTAATTGGATGATGTCTGCACATGGTGGATATTAAAAAAGAAGAAACCAAAATAATAATTTTTCGATATTTTGTCTATATGTTTGTACCGGTATCACGCAAACTATTGCACCAAATTGAATGCGGTTTTCATTGTTGTTTTCCTAAAGAAATAATTTAAAAACTTTTGTAAATTTTATTTTGATACGCCCTCTAAAAGTGGTTTATTCCATTTCTAAAATCTGCGCGTAAGAAGTAGTGGGCAAAAAGCTAGTGTACAATATTTCTTTGAGTTGCAACGAATAACGTCCCGGAATCGAGTCTCTGTCGGGCTAATTTAGAAAATGTTATTAATTAAACTCGCAGATCGGGCAAGTGTGATCTGAATTGTATCCCAATACGTTCGTTTTCTAATATCTTATAAGGCTATTCTAGATACACCAGACAATTTGGGGCATTTGGTGTGTTGCCATTTTTATTACATTACTCAATTTACGTGCAGTGAAATTTTCGTTTTTAACTGAAACTATGATATTACAATACGTCTATAGGCTAGCGAACTGTATGTTCTTTTGCCATCTTTGTCGTATAAAAAAATATTTACAGGAAACATGAAGTTGTAATTTTTTTTTATGCAACTTAGAATTACAAATGGACCTGACGGCCCACCCGATGGAAAGTAGTAACAGTATTTACTAATTTATTATCTATAAAGCCTTGAGCGTCTCACTTTAATATGCTTAATCAAGATGAATATAGCTAGGCAGTGGCAGTAAATTTTCTAGTGTCACTAGAAATAATTATAGAATTGGAATGCTAAGAGTAGTTACACTTGATACTGTATAGTAGTTACACTATTTATGTATCTAATAATTACTACATTGCAACAGTAACTAAGATACTGCAATTTGTTAATTAAATTTATATTTATCGTAATCCGGTGATCAAATCCAATATAAAATCAAATTATTAAGTATTATTAACATGTTCGTAACGTTCGATCAACTAATTTTGGTGTTCATATTTATTTTTAATATTAGTGTCGCATCATCACACCAATATCCTTGTTGTCTAAGTATACCTTATGAGAAATCAGGTAAAGAAAAACTTATATTTTAGAAAACTTTTAAATAAAAAAAACTTCAACTAGACTTACAGCGGATTTACCGTAGATCTTTGTTATTAGGCATATAAACAGATACCTGGGGGCTAAAAGGAAAAAAGTACTTAAGTGGTACTTTATTTCACGAGTAGGTACTATCTTAATTGAAATAAAAGAAAATCTAATAAAAACAATCTTTAAACCTTAAACATGATAGTTTTATAATATATAAAGAAACTCCTCTTTTAAATTTTTATTGAATATGAAATGCTCTATCATCTTTCATAAACTCATCATATCTACCTTGTAAGGGGTTTTTTTTAATGGATGATAATGGAATGGTAACCCCACCCGCGCTATCAGTATACACCGGCGGGGCACCAGTGAAGGATGATAGGTGAGGATGAAGCAGGTCAGTTAGCCCATCATGACGAATTCAATAAGATTTGTTCACGGTGGTTTCCAGGGGGAACCACGCGGAGGTCCACTTATATATACGTAATGCCTCATGCATCACGTATACGCTCATTCATATATTCTATGTAAATTCAGTGCCATTTTTCAGTACAACAGTATAATAAAAGTGCTAACCACTAATTACTGATTAAGTGTTAGTCGGAGGTAATAATCGACTACTATCATTGTAGTCAACGTAATAAGAGTAAGATAAACAAAAACTGAGGGCCTTGGAATAAAACGAAAAGTGATTGATTAAATGTCTCTACCCATAATTCTAATAATTATTAAAGATTTTTTTAAAAAAAGATTCAATAACTTGATAAAATAAAACGGAACTAACACAGGATGTTTGGTTCAGAATTGTCTAAAATATTGGATAACATATCTGCATATAAAAATACTATACAATTTTCTTTTTGAGGTCGTTCAAATAAAATGACACCGTTCGTGTTTACATACATCGTTATCGATACGCGCATTAGGCGTTTACCTTCGATAGCTTTTAGATCTCGTAGATTTTCCTGATCCATTTGACAATTGAGTGTCGGGGACACAAAAATCATGTTTGTTGCTGTTAACCTCTATTAATCTGTCAAGAATAATTTGTATATGTCGTAAAGCACTTGATTATTGTTGTAATATATAATATATAGACAGTGTAAGACTATTATATTATTGTGAGTTTAGTTTTACCTTTGAACCCATTCTCGATTGTGTAAAAGATGGTAATTTTAAATAGGCTCTAGCTAGAGTTCACGGATGCACTAAAACATCACAGTAAAACAAACAGTTTTATTTTATTCTTTGTAGAAAATGGTGGTTATAAATCTATTACAACAAAGCAATATAAGTACCTTCTATTAAGTAATCGACTTCAAAAATGAAGGAGGTTCTATGTACAAATATATTTTTTATGTTTGCCATCTATTTTTCCGTCAATTGTGGATCAATTTGAATAGAATATTTTTTTATTCGAAAATGTATTATACACCTGAGGTAGTCCCATTATTTTATATCTATTATGTTTTTGAATATTTAAAATTTTAGTGACACTTCGTTAATAGACATGGATTTATATTCATAAGAGCTTCTTTGATTCCGGCTAAATATTGATACGAAGTTTCCGTCGAATAATACATTACTGTTCTCGAAGAATAAAATGGTAATTGCAGTCAAATTTGCAGAATAGAAAATATATTTTTTTGAACTATCGTTATCACTAGGATTGAACACTGGCATCAGTGTTGATTTTTAAAGAAATAAATTACTGTGCTATAATATTTCTATCATTACCATCTTATCAACTTACGAGTATTAACGTCCTGTTATTGGACACGAGTTTTTCTTTATAAGTGGAGGCTATGACGTTCATTCAATCATTAATAAAGCTCACCTGCTTGCTCCACGGTTGCTTTGAGTAGGTATTGATGAAAATTGCAACAATTAAGTATTTATCGGAATACTCTGGATCAAAACAGACTAATCTAGTTCCAGTCGGTCGCTATTAATCAATTGAACGTGTATGGATCTGGTTAAAATTGTTTCATTGTATTTAACAATTGGTTGGGGACGCTCCCTTCTTTGTCTTTCTGCATTCAACCATGACTTTAGTTAGGTATTAAAAAAATTCGACTCAATAAAAATAAAGATTTCAATTGATGTCATGCATTGCCTAATTCCGATAAGCTTCAATGCAACTTTGCTCTCCAGGCACGTAGTGTCGTCATATAAAGAATGCGTTTTGCCTACTATAACATTACGGTTAGAAGCGCTTTGAAACTTTGTTTCAAATTTATTGTTGTTTTATAAATTATTTTAGGACAGCTGCGATTATAGCGACAAAGTTCCAATCTGTGACTTATTTCATATTTTACTTTCGAATTTAGGTACAAAATTTTTTCTAACTCAATTTTATCCATTTGTAATTTTCAGTTTTCAATTTTAATAATACGAAATAGAATAGTATAAAAATAGAACAGATTAATGACGACTTCTAAATTTAGACACCTTAAATTATATGAGAGTTAGTATTGTGAGAAAAAAATCCAGTTACACGGTAAGCATAACCAAATCATAAAAATAAATAGAGCGGAGCCATACCTTGTTGTAGAAAAAAATACAGGCAAGTGACAATAAAAAATAAAAATACGAAGTCATTCGGAAGCTGCTAGTTGCAACTTCTCATTACGATGCTTTTCCTTGTCTATAATATGCTGTCCTTCATTTAGTTATTTCCGCATGCAATCTATTCTGATCACATAGATGTCATGTCCTATTAATTATAGTCAGCTTAGTATTGGGGACTAGGTGTACTCGTATGTTTGTAAATACTGTTTACAATTAAAAGTCTGCTCTTGTTATGGTGCAAAGGTTTAAAAATAACGATGCAAAACATCGTATGATAAAAAATTTTAAAACAGACGATGTAAAATATTGTTGAAAAACATTTGTAAAGAATACCTACATATAAATACTACACATTTAGTTCAATGGACTGGTATTAAAATTAAAATACTCTGTTTTATGAGAAACCAGGCAGTGTATATCTAGGAACAATCCACAGATTAGAGACTGGAACACAGCAATATACTCATACCTGAGACAATTCAGAAAGGCTCGTTTCTTGAACGACCCCAAGTGAGAATGGAATCTAGGACATTATTTACGCAAAGCAAGATGCATATTGCAATGTAATTATTATGAGTTCTTGTTTAACGCGGTTTTGCCCAAGTGAATTAGGATAAGCACCTTGTATAAATGTCGGGTATGGTCTATCCGTCTAATAAACATTACAAAATATACAATTATTACCTAGCTAGTAGGATTTATATTGTAATCGTTTATTAGATTGTAAATGAAGCTTATGTAATTTGTTCGACTAAATCTTAAGGAATGCGAAGACATAATTGTTTTTATCTTGTCATACTTAACTATATAATAAGCGTACGTGCAAAATATTAATTGTAAAATGCTAGGCCCTTGGTGTAATTAGATGACTTTGACATCTTGACTCGTGCCAATATGGTAGAATCTTGAGCATGACCTCCAAGTTTGTGATAGACGCAATAAGATTAGGGGTGGGGAGATTGTTAGTAACGGGAAATAGTAGTCCCATTGTTTGAATTATATATACTCTATAATATAAATTTTTATGCGGTCTCCTTTGGAAAACAACGCGATTAATAAATAAAAATAATAAAATAATCATGATGGGCTAACTGTCTGCTTTTATCTTCATCTATTATTGCTCGCTGTTGCCCCGTCAGCGATACCG